CCTTCCCAAAAGTGCACCCTCAGATTTTGTTTATCATTTCAACATTTAAAATGCTTGCGCATTTGTATTTTTAGGTTATATAATAAATAATACAATAAATAAATAAACACATTTTGTCGGTACATTTATATTAAAAACATGTAAGTAGCACAGAGTATATGACTGCTAACTAGTATGATCACGTCTGTTTCACAAGAAAAGTGGTGGAATTATTTTCACGTGTTCGTTTGGATCCCCTAATCAAATGGTGATTGCCCATCTTGCCTATGGCGTGGGCTGGCCCTGTCCCGCACAGCAGTGGTAGCGACATGAGCAGGGTGGAGGCGTAAAAAAGTAAACAAAAAGGACAACTGACCCAGAACATCAGACTGCTTTAATCAAAGGCAAGTCAGGGAAGAAAACCCTCAACTCAAAGGGGTGGTTTTCCAAGCAATACTTAAATGGAAACAGAGGTAGTTTAAAGTCCCAACATGTTAAATACAAGAATAAAAAGCTGAATCTCTTAAATGAAGCTTAATTTTGTATTTTTGTGCTTTGTTCGAGGCCTGGGTCTGGACCTTTGTTCTAGTGTCCTGGGTATGACGATAACTGCGTCCCTAATTGCAGTCCCCGAACTTGCAGACAAAAATTTGGTGGTTGGTGGCGGGATTAGCACTCCAGTCGCCATAAAAACTTCACACAGCTCCGACAAAGCAGACAGGACTCCTTTCTGCTCTCTGTGGGAGTAGCTGTGCTGCAGTTGCCCACAGGAAGGCCGTACGCATCATGAAGGGGACGGGGGAAAGCCCTCGGGAGCCTCATCCCTGGAAGAGTCTAAACTGTCAGGGAGCCAATGGGGTCAGGCCTGTTGGGGATTGGAGCTGGCGCCCTGCTGAGGTGTCGCCTGCCACACGGCAGCACTTGGGTCCTAACCTGAGACAACTCATCTGCGTAGGCATGTCTCTCCGTCAAGATGACCACCTTCCTCTGCTGTTGGGGGAGCTTCGTAAACTCCGCATTTCATTGCCGGCACTCTCTGAGGTACACAGACCAGGGATCGGCCAGATTTCTGTACCTTTGGGCTGGTCGGTCTGATGGCTGCCATACTCAAGGAGCAGCTGTAGCTCTGGCGGATCAGCTGCTCCCTATGGCGTCTGATGTCACTCTTTTCAACGAGCGTATTATGAGACTCAGGCTAAGGCACTCCTTGGGTGTCTTGACTGTTGTCTCAGGATATGCTCTGACTGAGACACTCCTCTGGTAATGGGTGACTTCAGTGTGACCACTGGCACTGACAGGGCTGGCTATGAGGATTGTGTCAGTCCCCATGGGTTTGGAGACTGGTGTGAAAGTGTCTCCATGTTCCTTCACTTTGCAAAAGATCAGGGGCTATAGGTTACTGGATCCTGGTTCCAGCATCCTGAGCTGCATCGATGGACTTGGTACTCCAATACTGGTGGTGTGGCGAAGGAGATTTATCACATCCCTGTGGGCAGATGCTGGAAGCTTCTACAGATTCATAAGAACATAAGAACATAAGAACATAAGAAATTTACAAACGAGAGGAGGCCATTTGGCCCATCAAGCTCGTTTGGGGAGAACTTAGCTAATAGCTCAGAGTTGTTAAAATCTTATCTAGCTCTGATTTAAAGGAACCCATGGTTTTAGCTTCCACTACAATAGCAGGAAGACTATTCCATACTCTGACTACACGCTGTGTAAAGAAGTGCTTCCTCAAATTTGTTTTAAAATGTTTCCCGCTAATTTCCACTTATGGCCACGAGTTCTAGTATTTAGACTAATATTGAAATAGTCATTTGGCTGAACAGCATCCAGACCCGTTAGAATCTTATAGACCTGAATCATATCCCCCCTTAGTCTCCTTTGCTCAAGGCTGAACAGATTCAGTTCCGCTAACCTCTCCTCGTAAGACATTCCTCTAGGGTCTACAGAAGTGCCCAGTTTGTGAATTCTGACCACAGACTTGTTGCTACTCTGAAGATTCAGCTTAAGTCCAGTAGGCTACCACCTACTAGGAGAATGAGGCTGGACCTGGCCAGAAGCCAAGATCAAGCTGTTTCTCAATAAGATCCGTCATCACTTGCTCGCCTACCAGTGACTGGAGCAGTCTGGTTTTACGCCTAAGAAGTCTACCATCAACTTCATCGACTTAGGCACAGCCCTCAGCAGTCTGTCTGTCTGTCTGTCTGTGAAGAGAATGTCAACCTCATTGAGAGGTTCATTTACCTCGGCAGTGACATTCATGTCTCTGGTGACTCTTCCTATGAAGTCAGTAGACGGATTGGGAGATGCCACGTCACACCAGGCTGTGGCAGATGGATGGCCATTTCCAGAGGGCGGGACTGGACCCTGTGCTAGCCTGGGGGGTCATCAACCAGGATCCTGAGGTGTTTTGTCGTGTGGTGGGTGTGGCAACAGACTGTACCAGTCCATGCTCCCCATCCTGACCTGACCTGACCAGTTCTAGGCCAAACTTCCTGGTTATGGTAGCAATACCTTACTGAATCTAAAAACTAATCATGTGTAAACATTTGGAAAACAAGTTTTAACACCAAATAACAGTTCCTCACAGTCTACTATGACTTGGATATTAGTACTTTTAATACTGAGATATTCATGAATAAAGTGAGAGACAAGAGCAATACATTTCTGCAGCAGAAACTGGCTTTGCTGTTAGCCTGCATGATATGAACACGTAAAAAACAGCAGATCTCAGCCGTGTTTAATTAAAAAAAATATCTGCAACCCGAAAGTGTCCTGGAGGCCTGATCTGATTCTGTCACTGTCTGACCTGGGAATATTTAGTGCGGTCTGAAAGCCTGTGGATAAAAAGGTTTTGTGAGCTAAATAAAGGAAGATAGAACTTAGTTGCATCAATGCAAAAAGGAATGCCTGGGCGAAATGGAACACAGAGTCACTTTGAGAACACCTCTCCTACTGCAAAGCAAGGGGGCGGCATTTTCCTTTCATGCAGGTGTTTCTATGAGAAATCTATAGACACCAATTAGCGTAACAGCATGTCTGGAGACTGTGACAGGAAACTGGAATAGGAAACCCAAGTGACATGGGGAGAACACGCAACCCCCCCCCCCATCCCCTAGTCAGGGTAGGATTCGAACCTTCAAGCTTAGGGATGTGAGTCTGTACCATTTTTTGCTTGAGGAAATACATTAGCATGTACATCAATTACAGTGATTTCATTATTACATATTCTTTTTGTGAAAATTCTTTTTTTGCCAATAACAGTACTATGGTAACCGGAGGTGGACATTTTAGGTCCAGAAAGTAAAAATCCAGACCCAGATTTTCACTTTCTGGACCTGAAATGTCCACCTCTGATGGTAATTTACCATGCTTGCAGTTTGTGGACTATGTTTACATTCTGCGGTCATTTCAGATGATTAGATTTCTGCTGGAGCGGGTTTAAATTTTTTATATGTCGTGCTTTCAGGATAAAGCCATAACCACAACTGTAATTCACTGTCTATTAATATTGCATTGTGGTACAAAGGAAAAAAAAACTGTGACAAAGAAAGGAGACAGGCCTTTGTGTGAGGTTTAATATCTGTCATGGTGGAGTTACAGGGATCAACAAATTTGACGTGGAATTGATCACTGTCAGTGCTAATCAACATCCTGGTAAACTTTCCAGCACTGGGCTTCTAAAGTTTATTCTTTGAGGGAAAATTCCTGGATTCCTGACTTTCACACATTCAGGGGTGACAGACATGTGGGTTGTCGGTATGTGGATCTTTAATTCATGGGCCTGCGAGACCCTCCTGACTGTTTGACAGTTTAGGGTTATGTGCCTTTTTTCCAGCCCAGAGAATGCCACGCCTCAGTTTCACTCACGGTTCTGTGAATTCATGCATATTCAGTGAAGTCAAGTTCAAATTGCAGCCACATTGAGCACATCAGTGTGCTGAGCCCTGGCACGCTCTACCCTCGATACCCTCTTTACCCAACTGCCCTCAAGCAAAGAGGTACAGGATCACTTGTACATCCACCACCAGAATTGCTGACGGCTGCCAGAAGCAGTGAGACCATGTCCACTACATCTAACCTCAGGGAGTCATCGTGGTTACAAATCTGCCTATTTTACATTGAACTAAATACTTGTTTACTTGTGTATCGAGTCATTTTTTTGTGCTACTTCTAAATGCAGAAACGTGGAATAAGCATGTTCACAGATAAATATAGGTCATAAGTCAGAGAGCATCTTTCCTAAGAAAGGGACTAATCTACTCCTTAACCAGTCAGCATGCTAAACGTTTAAATAAAAAAACATTCTTTAGTTCAGCATTTTCTTATGGCCTGACCTGGGTTTAGTGACATCATTTGTTTTTCGGCTTTACACAGTGACATACTCTGGAACGTGGTGCAATCACACTTGTTCAAACATGTTTTGCTGTTACAGGCAAGGGGCGACCTGTGATATTAATACTCTGTCAGCCACAGGATTCGAATCCGCAACATCGTGGACAGATCCATACTCCTTCCCTCATATTTATAACAGTATAACATCTGTCCTCCACGGATCTGGTGCAGGGTCCCTGAAACCCCAGATATGATGCCAATTCCATCACGGGACACACACTCTATGGCCCATTTCAAGATGCCACTTAGCTGGTTGTGTGTGAGTTGCTGTGGAAGGAAACCAAAGCATTTCCGACCCCCAAGCATTGGGGCTGAGGTGACCTTGCTACCCCTTGTGCCACCACACAATAATGAGACATGCGAAAAAACTGGTAAAATTAATTCGCGGTGGGATTCTGGAAATATTTCCAACCATTAACATTCCAGAGAACCTCACTTGTCCAGTAGAGGCCGGGTCACACTGATTGTGGAAGTATTTGTGTGTTATCATTTATTTTCATGAAATCCAGTGTTTTCCTAAATTACATGTTTATCCATTTTATGGCAGCATACCACCGCTTTCGGCTTAGACATTTAAGGGTACACCCTCGCCATGCAGCAGTCATCAGGAAGCCCTTTTCTTTAACCATAACCACTGCGGTCATTCCAGCTTATTTTTGCCTTTGCCGTTTCTGTTATATTTGTATCGCCGCGGGTATTCAGGAGAGTACGGAAAAGCGCGCACTGAAAACAATGGGCCAAAAACACGATTATACATAATGATGAAAATTATGATAAAAACCCACATTTTAATCTCTACTGCGCTATAATCTGTAAATGACTTTTTTTTGTCTTCGTCGTGGAGTCATTCGTAGCAAAGAGGAGCCGGAGCTGCGTGTTTGCCGAGTGCGAAGCGCCGTGGCTCCGCCTCGGATGTGTTAAAACTCAGGGGACGATTTTGAAACTTATAAGTTGCTACGATGTTAGGAACTCAGATAGAGACCAAGCATATGGTAGGTAGCAAGGCAAGTTGACCATCTCTCACACAGTCTCATACAGCGAGGATTTCTGGACTCATCTGTCGCTGGGACTGGTATCCGGAAATATACCTTGTTGTATGACACCTTAAAATCCAGAGATATTTTATTCAAAGTCAGCGGAGTTGAACTCACAGGAAACTTCAGAATAAGGTAACGTTATTTATATTTATTTGATGTATTGGATACCCAGCAAATAATTAAATGATAAACATGCTAGCCGCACCGTTACATTATTTTTAGCGTTATTTTTTCCATTTTCAGATTTTTTTTTCTATTTCCATTAATAAATTTTGTAATAGCACTCGGTGTCTGTGCATTACCGGCTGTTTCTTCAGAATTACATAGCCTTAACCCCTTGTGGAAAAACTTTGAACACGACGGAACTGGACACGGTATAATTAACCTGGTTTAACTGTTTTCATTTATTGCTTTCATTTAGCGAATGATTTCAGAGTAAATCTTTTAATCTGAGGGAAAAAAAACCTTACATCATCTCCTAAAGTTCTACATGTTACGGCATAAATAACACAATGTCTAAAACCTGAATTGTTCACATCCATTGTCTGCCGGAAAATAAGCCCATCACAAAGGTAGTCAGTACACAGTACATATATAGTTAACGGTGACGTTGAAAATGATAAAACTATATACATCCTCTGCTTATTACCGTATATGTAAATGTATTACATAATAAACACTGCAGTATTTTACACAGGTACCAAAACATCCGTCCATCCATAAAGAGGCAATACTATTTGTTTTGTTTGTTTGTTTTGCTTAGACCTACTTTTTAAAGTGTTTTGATGTGTTGATGTTGGGAAGGGTGCTAAATACTTAAACTGAATTATTTAAAATAATAAATATTTTACTGCGATGGTGCATCGTGTTTTAAAGTCAAATGAAAACCGGTTCCTGATCAAGTGAAATGCAGGCAGTACCGGAAGGTGCACATTTCAAAGCACAGATAAACAGTAGCTGCTCTGGTGCACAGAGAATCACCCAAGCATAGATTAATCTTCCAACCACTTTTCCTGGAGGAGTGAGTGGGGGGGTGTTGAGCCATGTCCTGGTAGAGGCAGAGGTACATGCACCCGCTATGGGAAATTAAGCATGTGAACTCCCCACACAGAGAGCAGAGTGGGGGGGGGTACCGACCCCCACCCCTGGAGGAATGAGCCTCAGTACCACCCTTGGTTATTAATAGCTTAATATGTTTCAGGTCCAGGCTGTCACTGTTGCGGACGATGTCTAATCTGATGCTTCTCTTGGGCCTGCTAAACTTTGCTCTGTGCTACGGCTTGGAATTTCGGTATCACAACACTACTGAAGTGGAAGAGTATCTGAAAGCAGTACACAGAAATTATTCTTCATTTACGCACCTACACAGCATTGGAAAATCAGTGGAAGGTAAGAATGCATGTGATGCTTTAGATTATTATTATTATTATTATTATTATTATTATAATTGGGCATTAATTTCAAGGATTTGCTAAAGTTTTTCATTAAGTAAAGTGTATAATTGGCATTATTTATAGCCTAAACAGGGTGTCTGCTCAGGCACGAAATGTTTCATTCATTACATTTTGTCAGCCTCATTTCTTCCATATTCTGCAAGTAAGATTTATGTTCAGTGTCAACGCAGAGAGACTGCAAGTCTTCTCGTCCTCGGCGTGTTTTAGTGTTATTCTAAAGCACCAGGTCTCCGCTTCCGAAAGGGCACAATACTCAGCATTTAGGTGGAGGCCTTCGCAGATGTGAGCCGCAGGCCGGCTGCAATCCCCACTCCTCTGGTGACTGTGACTTTTGTGAGATCTGTGGAGGAGGCCGCTCAACCCCAACATCCCCCCCCCCACCGCACCCGAAGCAAAACAAACAGTTAAAACTTCACAGAGACCACTGCGCACCGCCTGTTCCTTGGCAAGAGAAAAATGACCAAATACTTGAGGGGAGCCAAATTGTCAGATAATTTTGAAGAGTCCTGTTGGGGCTGGAATATACCTCGGGGCAGCAGGTCAATGTCAATGATCTTCAACACAGCAAGGAAGATTCCCACCCTGTGGAGGAATTAGAGCTGTCTCTGCTGACTACGGATTTGACATATTTATGAAATTGCCCTACTAAGCTCAGCAGATCATTTTTGTTTCTCAGATATAATTTAGAGATTTGTAGCTAGGGGCGCCCAACATGAAACTCAAAGGCATTCATAAACATGTGGAACTGAGTAGGCTGCTCTAGGCTGTGCTTTAAGCTTATAACTGACCGGAATAACTGTGGTGTCCTTCCTTTGCTGAGGATTAGGCTGACAAAGACCTGAGAAGCTTCTCGATGGCATTCAGAGACTCAGAGACCAAAACAGACACTGTGAATTTCAGCACAGGGGCGGAAAATCTGTACCCCATCATTTGTTAAGGAGGGGAGTGTCGCACGGAAGATTAGATCAGATTTGTTATGAGGGGAGATAAAAGTCATCTAATGTTACATTTAGACACAACAGCTGATAGTAATCTCGGCTCAGACATTAGTCTCCCCCCTCTCCAACCCCCCCCCGCCCCACCACCCAAAAGACACCCCAAGGCTGTACTGAGGTTTGCCTAACCTGGATCCTGTGATGCCTCGACAATTTTCAGCCTGATCTGTAATTACAGCAATACTGGCCCGCTGGAAATTTTAGATGTTATACCTTGTAATATTTACTAATCATACCCCAGCAGCACCCATTAACGAAATAATCCCTGTTGTTGCCTGAAGTATAGTATTATACACTTTTTCCTTGGAATTTCTAGGGCTTGATCCATGTCTAAACTCTCTTGGACAAGTTAGAAGTGTAGAAATATGCAGTCATATCAGATTCCAGCGCCAGCCAGAGAACAGCAATGTTTCATTTTCAGTTTCTAAAATTGTACTGCTGCTTTATAACACAGAAGCGTAAACTCCTTGGTGTGGGCCAGGCTTTTGGGGACAGAGGAGTTACCTGTGAGGCTGCGCTGAGGTTTTTACTTAGTCTGCCATAACATCCACATAGTCTGCAAGGTCTGTTTTATTCAGGTAGCATTGTCCTGAAGTATAGTCAACTGAAAGGACTCCTCATCTCTGATCTGAAAGTAAAATCAGTGCAGTCATCCACACTCAGCTAAAAGTCCTCCAGACATTTCGCTAATGAACAGTGCAGTATCCCAGTAGACTAACCAGCCAATACCAAGCATTCATCAAAGGACCAAACTAACTGGATTTAGGTTGGCGTAACGCAACAGGAGTAGGCAGGAGCAGACATGCACTGTGCAGACCGTATGTGAATGACAGCGCAGTGTAACCCACCAAGCCGCTTGCCTGTCATCCATTGTCTTTCCTCACTGCCTTTCAAAAGTTCTGTGGAGACTTGCTCTGGTTTAAGGTACTGTACTGTGCAGGCGGGCAGACACAAAGCTGGTATTGAGATGCGGCTTGGTTGCCAGGTCTCCCTCTCGAATTTCAATCTGAAAAGATTCAGATGCTAATGCGCTCGTCTACACAATGTGTCAACCTCTGGAGAGAAAAATATCAGGAGTCTCCATGGGCAGCCCAGTAAATTGCATCTCAATTTCTATTGTGACCAATCCAGGCAGACACGGGGGCTGAGGGGACAGCTGTCCCAGCAACGGCTTGAAATTAGCTATAGTCAATTAGCTGATTGAACCTTGGCCAAGATGAATTCCTTTGCTTCCCAACAAAAGCAGATAAAATGTGGTATTTCTAGCAATATAGCATTGCCGCACGTTAGACGGCGACTGTCAGAAATGTTTCTCTTACAGACCTGATGATTCTACTTCCTTTAACTGAACCAGGAAGTCCAAGGTGTCTCCAAAGATTCCAGGATCACAAGGCATCATAAGACAATGGCATTCAGCATTTTCTTAATCTCCCTGGGCACCTATCCCTGTCAAAGCAAATGACATAGAGTGTTAATTTCTGTTAATCCTCAGCCACCTGCTGAGTTCATCTTCTGTCCAACTCAGCACACTATGTGTCATCAGTCCCTCCAAGTGATCAGAAGAATGGTGAAATCCATGTATTTATGCGAAACATCAAAGGCTAACCATTAAAGGCCAACATCATGCTTTAATTTCAATTGTAGGATGATGGTCAGGTTATATTTGCGCATGGGTACCATTGCAAGGCTTGTTATGCACTGTTGATTTCAGTCTGGTTAACAGTGGGAGTACTGGGTGTACGTTTTGAGCAATAGGACACATGACCAGCAGTTAGGCTCTTTCCTCTTCACCCATTATTAATCACTTACTGCAGAAACACACTTAAACCTGCTTTGTTCTGTGGTTGTGTTGGTATTCTTTAACTTCGACACTTAGAACGCAACTGGTCACGTTTTAAAAATATTGTCAATGTTTATGAACTGTGTACTTCTTTCTTTTATTTCAGGAAGAGATCTCTGGGTTCTCGTCCTCGGTAAATCTCCCACGGAGCACACGATCGGGATCCCGGAGTTCAAATATGTCGGAAACATGCATGGCAATGAGGTAATGCTCATTATCACAAGCTGAACGTGTTTGGCCAGGAGGGACAGAGCACTATAGACATATATTTTGCATAATAAATAGGTCTAACGAGTGTCACACCTACAGTTTTTAGGTGAGGAAATATCGCCTTGCGTATCTAACAGATGTTTTTTGTACGTCGCTTTCTATTGTTTCAATTTCCAGTTTCCAATCACAAAGTTGGATCATTAGTTCTTGAAATTCTCCAGACTCACTAGACTGAATGCATATTAAGGTGCAATAATCCTTATGTCAATGTGCAAACTGTCCATTGTTTCCCTGGTTAAAGCCACCAACGAGCATAGATGGATGGAAAGTGATTTTATATACAGATGTTGATTTGTTTGTCATACTCATTTATGGCCCAGCATTGTAATGAAAATGCAAATGCTTGCAAAAGCCTTCATATTGATGTAAACAATCAATTTTCCCATCTTTTATTCACCCACACAATCACACTGACACTGAGAACCAAACTAGTGGATTCAGGGGTGCAGGTTGAAAAAAAAGAGTCAACCAAGCATCTTGAGAGTTTAGGTCACCCCAGACTTCAATATAATTGGAAGGCAGGACCACAGTGGAGATGGCCTTAAACAGCTTTCCATTTATCCATTTGGGGGTAAACATAGTTGTCTTGGAGAAGGGAGCCTGAGCACAAAGAAGTTTACAGTCTGCAGCCTCCGGGGCCACAGTGAGGAGGCACCCAAGTGTGACCCGCCGTGGAGAAAGCAGGAAGGGGGATCCTTTCACTTGTTTTCATGGCACCTTTGTTGCCCCTTCTGTTTGCTCTGGAATATGAAAGAGGACCAGCTGTACTCAAGGACCTTGTCTCCTGGGTCACCATTATGATGTGTGACGGTCACACGTGCTGGTTCGTGGGGGGCCATGAGACGCAGAGGAGGGTCCGGCAACCAGCGAGCCGTGGAAAAGCCACGAACCCTGGGAATCAGATTGGGAAACTGATGGGAGAGGCAGGTGGGGGTGCCTTTCGGGTACCATCATGAATTTGATGCCATCATAGTCTCAGCCTCTTCTCAGGTCAACTTCTCTGCTATGTGTGCCAACTGCTATACTCAACGTGAAGGCATTTCCCAAAGTACAAATGGAAAGAAGGACGACATATTAAATGAGTGGCTGTTTTTGAGATGACTCTTGTAAAGCCTTTACACCTTGTGACTTTGGTTTAGTAATAAAGTCACAGAGCACAACTGTGTGTTTATCTGTTAGAAAAAAAGTTAATCTGGTCTGGAAGAGCATAAGCATTAATGCCAAAGCTACAGGGTCTGTGTAATTATCCCCCGGCGTCTGTGGTTTGCTTCGATATCCGGTAACCTGTTCCAGGAAGCCTGAGTGCCTGAGTGCGTCCGTCACCTGTCACCAGACCCTATGAGTGTCCTCAGGCTCATTAATCTTTTATAATTTACATGCTTTCCTGTCCCTCCTCCTTCAGGACTATCCCTGGGCAAATTTCCGGACAATCTGCAGCGCTACCTTCTTGCTCATCCATGAATAAGCATGCAGCGCCCTTAGAAAATGAACAAATAATCCCGTGTAAGAGTGGAGGTTACTAGTGTGGGGCTAATGCTGTTGATGCCTGTCGTGACTGATCATTCAATGATGAGAAGAAGCGTAAGGAGTATTAGAACACTGACAGTATGGGCTGCTAAGCCATAAGCAGTGTTGCATAAAACTCTGAAGCTAGATCTGTTTTAGATTTTCACCCTAAATTATGCCAAGCCATGTCTTGGAGGGAAACTTCAGCCTGTTTGCCTAAACCCAGGTTTGGAAATGTCATACAGTCCTGACCCCTGTGGGTGCTGTTTAACATGGACTGACACGAGCCTACTCGTCAGGGGAAATTTATACCATTAGTAACGTTAAGAGGAAAATGTGCCCTGGTTGGGTTGGGACAATATTGGAGGGAGATCAAGGATTTGATGAAGGGGAGCATGGACGGCAGCTGTAAAAATGTAGAAACACCTGCCAAAGACAGATGAGAAGTGAAACATTTACCTTCCCCGGTCGCTGCCCTGCTGGGTTGGGTCGACCTTGATTAATGCGTGACTCCGTTCTCAGTGGTTGTGGGATCACGGTACCTGCAGGTGAAGCTTGAATAATCGGCATGAATTTCCTCCCACCACATAGTTTTTATGCTCCCATCCCTGATTATGTAACAATGGCTGCCTGCCTCAAAACATGTACTGGGTCTGAGAGGACTTCGGCTGCTTCTGGTTTAGCCAGGGTGAACCTGTTGAGTGAGAGCAGCTGCATGCTGTTTGGGGATCGAAAACCCAAGACCCAAGAGCACATGGTACACCACCAACCCAGACAAGGACAATTCCCTACCTTATCTGGGGGTCCCGCCCACTTCACCCAGGCCAGCTGAGCCTCCGGCTGTGGCAGCCCATCTCCCGACCGTAGAGAGGCACAGAGGACCGGGAGGGACCGTAAACCATCTGGCACAGAAACTGTTTTCCATGATCATGCTTCTAACAATGCAGCATGACAAAAAAGCATTACTGCATACTTGTCAAATCTATTCACTTATCCTAAAGCTTAGCGTGTCTTTTGTCGTCACTTTCAAACGTAGTTTTATGACGCACGCATGTATCCAACCATCTTCCAACCTCTTACGCTGGTCACAGTCAGACCAGCTACAGCCTAGCCCAAGCTACACAGGGCAGAAGGCAGGGCCACATGCTGGATGTGATGTTTTTTAATTAGAAGGTTATACTGATTCTGGTCTCTAGTAAACCCCTTATATATTTCACCAGGATTTAGATTTAAATTTAGTTCTTTTACTGCTCTGGTCATTGCTTAACTGTGTTGATGTTATAAGTGGGCGGGGCCACCCGAAAGCGTGAGTCAGGTTATTGGAAATGTTTACGTTCTTTTATATGTTGTGCCCCTCCCATTCATGTCATTCTGTGATGTATATAAACAAGCAAACCCAGAAGGGTCCATTTATCTATTCAAAAGTTTGCTTTGTCTCATCACAGCTGATCTGGCACCTTCTTGTCCTTTATTGTTTTGGATTATTTTTCTCAATTTTTTGTGTAATTGACACCCCCCCCCCATCCCCATCCCTCCCATCTCAAAGAGGGAAAGTAGTAAAGAATGCAGGCTTCCCCAACCTCCTTGTGCATATGGTTCTGATCCTGAAGTGAGCCAGTTACTCCACATAATTCGAGGCTCTTTAGGGCACGTGTGGTGCTGAAAATTCGTTAATAAAGCAATTAACGCAGTACAAGACCTTTCCTCAGGCTGCTGCTGGAAAATCAGTTACTCCACATGTGGTCCACGCGTGCTGCTGTGTATAAAGCCCTTTGAAAACACTTGTGAAAACACCATCTGGAATGGTGGTATTTGCCTGGGTAGGTTGCCCCACAGAAAGTTCAAACAACTTTGCCCCTCTCGCTCAGGCTGAACTCATCTGGAAGAGCCGCGGAGCATGTCTGTTAGCTGTCAGGCACGTGCGCTTGCAGGAGACTCCTCGCTGATAAGCATCCATACATTATCCAGGGTTTATCTTGTGCTTTTCAGGTTCACACCTCTGGGCTCCAGATTTGGATCATAGTGTCGACTGGGCTCCTCTTATTTGTGGCTGCTGGACAAGAAGCGCGAGCCTCTGCCTTGAGTGGATAGAGAGCAACATCACAGCGTTGCTATGTTCCGGGGCAGAGGGTACTTTGATACCTCTGGCATTTAGAACACCTGCTTTTGTTGTTATTCAAATTTCATACTATCAGAGCATGCCACCTTTGTAAGTCAGTTTGTGAAATTTATTCCCTGCTAGATATTCTCTGGTCAACTGTAAGTGGTGTTACTGGAAAGTGGAAGCATTTAACGAAAAAGAGAAACTCAGCCACGAAGTGAACATGAACCGTTACAGTGCCCGGCCACTAGCTTCCAAATCTGAGCCAGTTACATGCAGTAGCTTGTTTCACTCTTGTGCACTGTTTTGGCAGCATTATTGGTAGCTGTCTTGTAGATCAGGGAGTTCACTTTTCAAAGTAGGAGGTGGTTTCTCTTCATTCTTAACCTGTGGGATAACATGGTTTATACAATGGTCAGCTCAGTGTTTATTTGTCAACTCTGCCTCTGTGGGGAATAACTGGCAATATTTCAAGTTGATCTTCCTGTCCATAGCTGTTTGGCACAGAATCAGCAGATATGGAAAGAGATTTAATTAGGCCAATACCATCAGCACAACTCTAGTCACCATGGTTAACACTGTAAACAAGCTGCATCCTGCAAATAGCTTACACCACCGATTTCTGTACTGCATCAGTGTTTGCTGGTTTAGAGAGACCTGTGGGAAATTCCACATCAGCATTTTGCTTTTTAGGGCAGTACAGAAGCGTGAATGTGAATGCAGATATCACTGTCAGTCATCTGTAACTGGTCGCATCCAGTTTTGCCGAGGTAACTGTGCACGTCAGGGGATCGCAATCAGTAACAAAATGGAAGTGATTGAAGATAAGATTTTTTAGTCACTGACCACTTGAGCACCAAAAATTCCACCTTGTGGGCTGGGTAGCAGATTCACTATGGGACAATGCTCATATTCTATCTATCAGGGTTAGATTCATTATTGATCACAAATGGTAGCTTATTATTGTGTCGTTGCTTGGGGAAGTCAATGAAGCAACACCTTTAATGGTCACTTGGGCTCTTGGTGCCTGTCAATGCTTTAGGAAGCTTGAATAGGTGTGTTTTATTTCTATGTTCTAGACTGGCACATTGCTGAGCTTTGCCCTTAACACCTATGGGACTTTGCTGACTCCCTTCAGGTCCCCCAAACAAGGACTGAATCTAGTTTAAACATGAGCCAGGATAGTTTTGCTCTCCCCACACATGCTGTCTTTCTTCCAGCTGTTTCCTCTTTTTAGTCCCTAGATCAGGGTCTGCAGCAATAGGGCAAACAGCAGCTAGGTGCCCATCATCCCCACACTGAGAACAACATCACAGTCTGGGTCACTTAACTTGTTTCTTTTTGCCTGTCTTAGCGTGTTTGCAATAAATAAGTCCCCTTATTTTTAGATTCCTTTGTCTTCTTCTGTTCTATGACCGAAGGTAGTCGACTCTGCAGGCTAGCTACCTGCTTCCTCAGTAATACTAGGGTTGGTCCCTGGCCTCTGCTAGCTTTTGCAGCTTGTCGATCTTCTTCAGTGCGTAGCTTAAGCAAGAGGTATGAGAACGATGGCGGGCAGCTTTTCTTTGGTTTGAGTTGCATTTTCCCAACATTCCCTGCACAACTGCTTCAGGTATCTGTCTACTTCTTCAATTGCCACCCCCTCCCCTCTTTACAGCTAAGTTTAGTACCAGCTTCAGCCGATGAAGGTAAGTGATGGCTTTTCACCAGGATCTTGCAGGTGTCTGTGAATTGGGTGAAATGCTCCACTCCATCCTCAACAGTGCCAATAGCTGAGTCTAGCAGCTGCAAATAGGCAGCAGGAGGCAGCTAAGGGCTTAGCCCTCTGACTATGTGGGCTGCCAGTGAAAGCTACCCAAGAACCCATCTAGATATCTGAGGATGAGACATACTGGGATCATTTAGAAGCAGCTCAATATGTGAGCGTCAAAATCAATTTCGTTATTAGGTCTGGGTATTTTTCCAGAGGAAGAATAGAGTCTTACGGGACATTGCAAGTATGGACTAATATCTTCCCTCCTTATAATATGCTTTTAAGGCTTTTAAGAGAATTCCTAAAAGAAATTGATGTAACTGCAAATGACCTACTGCTACTCAGCAATGTAAGATGACTGAGCAGAGGAAGGGCACGGGAGCGCTTTTGGAACATTAGAAATGAAACAAAAGGTTTCTTGCAACAACAGAAGAAAGTCACACAATTCTTAGAGAAAAATGGATATTCTGGCTTTCTTTGAGGGGCGACATGGTGGTGCAGTGGTTAGCACTGGATGGATGGATGGCTTTCTTTGACAACATCATATCTCACCATAATAAGCTGAACTTAAAGCTGCTGGGAAGGAACAAGACAGTGTGTGATTTAATTGCAGCTGTCCAGTCTTTCCAGAAAAAAATGGTCATTTTCAAGGTTCATCTCACGGGGGACTGTACACTTCCCTACAGTGAAACAACAAATTCTGGGAAAGAAAGGCGTTTCTTCTAATGTTGAGTTCATACAGAAACTCACAGAACACTTCAGTGACCGTTTTGGCAGCTTTAGCCTGGGAGAGTAACTTCTTCATCCAGAGTCTTCACACTCTGCCTGCGACTGTTTTTCCTGCACTTACCAAAGTAGCAGTACACACCTTCACAATGTTTGGTTTCTACATACAGTTGTGAATCAGCACTCCCAACAATTAACATCATTAAAACTAATTACTGTTCACAGTTGACAAATGACAATTTACGTGCCTGTTTGAGAATGGCAGTCACTCAGTTCCTCCCAAGGTTCACAGCAGGAACAACAAACGCTAATTTTTTCCCATTCTCATTTAATAATGTTCCAGTGATTAAAAATATAGTCCCTATAAGGATAGAACATCTGGTCGCGCTACTCACTGGAAGCAGCAAGTCCCTTAAATAGCCATAGAAACCATGATCAGACAGGTCATGGTTTGATAAGAATAGCTGCAATTATAGGAGCAAAAAGTCACTGTAAACGTGTTTGTAAAGTTGAGTGACACTTCTACTGCAACTACCTGTGCAGTTATATAATAACAATCAGCACCCACCTGATATCTCTGGACCAATAAAAAAATAGTATTTACTAAAGCTGTAATTTAAGTATATGTATAAATGTATGTTGTCTGTATTATACCTGTGTTAACGTCCTGCAATGCACTACTCGATTTTTGCACAAACTAATGCACTACTATCAGATACCTCACACCTTGTGTTTTGTGTTTATTGTATTCCCCGAAAGACTGTGCCAACGAAAATGTCCACCGGTCTTGTTTGTGTGGCAGTGGGTTCTGATTCTGGTAACCCTGATCTGTGATGTGTGTGACAGGTGGTGGGGCGTGTGGTACTGCTCCAGCTGATCGATCACCTGACCCAGGGCTACCTGAGCGACCCCCAGGTCACGCGGCTCCTCAACAGCACCCGCGTGCACATCCTGGTCTCCATGAACCCTGACGGCTTCGAGGCCTCTACTCGCGGCTGCGTATACTCAGAGGGCCGGTGAGTTTGCCAGCTTCTGGCCGTGCTTCTGAATTACCCAGATCGAATCACAAACCTTTCAATCCTACACTTTCTTCCCTATTTATGTAGCTGGGTGTTAAAGTGGAGCAATTCAGATATATTTGCTTTTATCGGTACAGCAGGGTAGGTTCTTATGGGACCTCTATCTTTTAATCACAGTCCAGTAACCATACCCACTACCTTCTCTGCTATGTTCAGTTCAATATATAATCTGAAACGATTTAAATGTCCCAAGTTATGTATCCAACTATACTAAGACCTGTCAAAGCAATTTACGTAGACCACATACTCATAGTTTACATACACATTTAAAGGGCTGCTTGTGATTAAGGAACTTGCCTATTTGTAACTATAGACAATTTGACTTCCACCTCTGTACATTTCAGAGGGGGGGGGGGGGGGTGGGGCATTGGCTGAGTAATACATTTTTAAGTTTCCATTACGAACAGACTGGTTTTCATAAAAACAATCTCTCGCAAAAGCAGCTGAGTGATATATGATATGCCGTCTGCAAATATTGGGGGTGTTAACGGGGTTGGAGTGGCCTTGGTGTAATGGGAATGTAGTGGGTTTGATGGACCCGAGTATAAATACACAGTTAGGGGTTAAATTTAGAGAAAGCTGTTCCTGACCTCAGAGTTACAGGTACTCAAGGGAAACCTCATAAAATGAACATAACAGAAGGGACTCCTGCTAAGCGCCTAACAGCACCAAAACACAGCCATCTCAGCTGGGCTGGGAGGGGGGCAATCAGACTCCAGAGCCGGAGAAGCAAGAACGTCGAGCTGCCCTAGGAACCGGCTACTGTAATCCATCCAGGATCCTCCCAGAGCGAGACGCGCAATTCATTTATTTGCAGAGACACAAAAGAGCCGCTCTGGATTAAAAATGAGGCAGGAAAACACCATGACAAAGGCAAACCCATCTCCTCGGGGCCCCCGGTCTCTGCGTCAGACTGCTGTTATTGAACGGCTCACATGGCCACAAGGCTTGGTTTCGAAGATTCAGCCCGAAGGATTCCCACACGTCTCATTGTCAGCGTGACAAGACAGATGATCCTTTTCAGGCGGAATCTTTGCAAAATGAAGCCTCTTGTATTATTATTACCAATCAAACCCTTCCCAAGAGTCACATTTTACGTAGCGCACTTTGTTAAATGTTTAAACTGCCAGCACATTCTGGACAATTTCCACCTGTTTTCTGGATACTTCAGTAAAACACAAAGCCACTCCAAACATAAACTAAACTTGTGCAGAATGAGCCCTGCATGAAAGAAACTCCCATTGTCCCTATAAACTGTCTATATGGTATTAAACAGAACATCACTGGTTTTATCCAGTTTTGCATGTGGCAGCTTTGAGGTCACTCCAGTGTCACAGGAAAGATCTAAAAAAAATTCTGCCTTCATTTTTTTAATATACCATAATAGGCACAGTTTGTAACATACAAGACTTCTTGCATTTTTAGTGTTTTGATTGCACAAAATATCTATTAAAGATATTTCTATTAAAGAGAGTTTCCCCTTGTGGGAACCGAAAAAATGTCCCCACAAGGTCGAAATAACTGTTTTTTGTCGTATTGTGGGGACATTTGGTTATATACAGTATACATGGCTATACACATGCGCGCGCACACACATACACACACACACACACACATGCACACACACACATGTCGGGTAAACATAGCTTTATGGGGATCGCTCATTCATTTCTATGGGAAAAATGCTAACGCTAACTATGACAACCTTAACCCCTACCCAGCCCTAATCATAACCATAAGTAACCAAGCAAAATACAAGAGTTGTTGCATTTTTAGTTTTTTCATTGCAGTCACAGATCATTATCTGAACAGGAAACTGTGTCCCCCGAAAGTAAGGTATACCCACTCACACACACACACATGAATGCAGAACCTCTGCTAGCTACAGGTTCCAAGCAGAAACAGGAAGTACGTGCATCCAAACCCCAACCCGCCCTGCAGCTGGGAGGCCGCATTGTTACCCGCTGAGCCGCCTGCTATGTAGCCATGCTAGACTGGGCCACCTGGGGAAGCTGTGGCGTCCTGCATGGCCATGTGCGATGGGGGGATGCTCTTTGGTCCTCATGGTGCCTCCCCCAGCATAGCTGCCTCCTAAGAGCCTCTAAGGGCAGCAACAGCAAACACGTCCATAGAGAGGCTGCCATCTTCTGCTTCTTTTCAGTCTTCACTGCCCCTTAAATTTACACACGTGCATAGTTACAATTCTAACGGAAGGCTGGAATCTGAAAAACACTAAACCTCGCGCAGCCACAGAACGTTGGTTCCTGTTTAACGGGGCATTTTCTGAGTTTTATTTCCCGCAATATAATCGCAACCTCTACTGCGTACACTTACGAGTGTAAATGTCTATGTCAGTTATTTTAGCTTATAACCATTTCATAATTTCTGGGGACACCATTAATCATTACGAATCATTATGAATCATTATGAATCATCATGAATCATTATGAATCATTATGAATCATTATGAATATGTAAAGACCACCAGCGAAGTAAGTATTAGCATATTAACACTCATGTGGCTGTTTGTTGGTATAGGACTTATGGACAATATTTGTCAATATTGCTCTGCTGTATAAGAATTTTGCTTGTCAGTATTATTTGTCGCATCTTAAACTTTCTGTTTATGTGATGTGGTGATGGTTTCCTTGGTAACTGTCGCGACTGGTGGTAGGCGAGCAGGCAGGCGAGGATTCAGGACACGAGAGTTTATTACGGGGAATCGAGGGAAGAACAGGGCAGACAGCGACAAACATCAATGACAGATCTGGGGATACAAACTCTGACGTGGACTTAAATGCACAAGACTAAGGGACGGAAATGCAGAACGGATGAGAACAATCGGGAATTCACATGAGGTAACGAGGGGGGCGTGGCACACAGGAGGATCGTACGAGCAGGTAATGACGGTAACTTTTATTATGTATGCTATTGCAGGGGAGTATAGTAACTTATTAATCCATGATTGTTAGCTCTGAGGCCTTTATTTAATGTGATTATGCATGACAGTGTTTCCCAATACGGATGTGGACTGACTGGGAGGGAGCAAAAACATGGACCGGTTGTGGGTCCCCAAGGACTGGATTGGGAAACACTGATGCATAGTATAAACTGTGTATATTTATGGACAGTAATAAACATTTGTTCCATCCATTGTCCATAACTGCTGATGATGTACAGGGTTGGGGTGATCCTGGAGCCTTTCCCAGTAAAATGCACAAGGACCCTTGTAAGAGACATCAGTTCACCTAACCGCATGTTTTTGGACGTCGCATGTTCACACAGGTTCAATAAGCATGGCATGGATCTGAACCGGAACTTCCCAGATGCCTTCCAGGGCAACATGGATATGGCACGTGAAGTGGAGGTGCAGGCGGTGATGGACTGGCTACAGACGGAGCCCTTCGTCCTGTCCGCCAACCTGCATGGGGGCGCTGTGGTGGCCAGTTATCCATACGACAACAGCAATGAAGGTGCGTCATCAGGCAGTCACATGACTTGGTATAGGGACGTGGCTTAGGGTGCACGAGGGCCATTTTATCATATGCAAAGAGCCTGGGAACACTGTCAATCAGTGTTTCTCGACTCAGTTCTCGGGGACCTCCAGACCAGATGCTTGCAGCAGGGGAGGGGGTGCGGAAGGGGCTTGAACACTTGCCCCTTTGGCCTGAATGATTGAAAGTGCACCCCTTTTGAGGTCCTAAGAGCCCCTGTTTGATAACCAACAAAATTAACCAGTGGGGACCCCCATCCCCGAGATTGGCAAAATTATTCATTGCCATTCAAGTACCTGCTCCAGGATAAGTCTCAGCATGGCACTGGCCCAGACTGGCTACACAGACTGGCCAACACACTGGTACCAGGTACCCAGTGTTCTTGAATGTTCTTGATTGTTTGGTTCATGTGTGATGGGGGCTGGGAGAAGGAAAAAATGTGGATGGTGTGGGAGTCCCTGAAGACTGGATTGAGAAGCACTTTAGATAGTATCATCAAGCTTCTGGAGTAACTGTTGCAAATTGTAGACAATCAGCATTTCTGCTAACGCTGTCTGAACTAGGAAGTGAGCTGCAGTCGGGCTCTAGTGTCTCCCCTGACGATGACGTCTTCATCCACCTGGCCAAGACCTACTCATTCACACACAAGAGCATGCATAACGGTAACAGCTGTTACGACTTGAAGAACTTCAAGGATGGCATCACCAATGGCTTTAACTGGTATCCTCTTAAAGGTCAGTCTTTCTGCTCCTCCAGCTTACTGCTTTCTGTTGATCTTAAATCAAAGGTAAATTAGATGTAAAAATATACAGTAAAACAACAGCATCAGGAGATAACAACAAATTCTTTTTGTATTTTGGAGACTATTTAATGGTGGGGTCTCTACTTAATACCTACAAACTAGAAACCAATGGAAAGTCAATCTGCGTAAGATGTATGTTCAATGGAAAAATGGAAGGATTCTGAAAAGACCTCCATATACCACATGTTTTCACAGCATAGAACATTTTGTTTAAATAAACCTTTACAACTCAGTCTGGTTCCTGGTTGGGGAAAAAAAACTTAAATACATGGCTTGTGATTCCATCCTACAATTACATTTTTAAATGCTGGACCAAAGGGTCAGGTGACAGAAAAGACAACGCTGCAGTCAGTTTGGCCGAGGACTAATGTCAAACCCGCTCGTATCGTTCAAGAAAGCTGTGGATTGATGTGGTGTTACAGAAAATATTTATGCTCTAATCAGACACGAGGAAATTCCAGAAAAAAGTCAACAGAATTGGATAACACAGACAAATTATAAGGTGAATTGGTATAATGGGAGAGTTTGCCCTGAAACCAAATCGCATTAATTTCACTTTATTTCTGTGACACCATGTTTACTTTGCTTCTGTCAGACTGGGGACCATAAATGATTACAGGAAAAACCGTTTGGAATCCAGTCAAGTAAGAAAAAGGACTGTAGGTGCTGGAAGAGCCTTTCTTACGATGTTCTTTCGTTTTTAGGAGGGATGCAGGATTACAATTACATCTGGGACCAGTGTTTGGAGCTCACACTGGAGCTGTCCTGCTGCAAGTACCCCCCCGAGACTGACCTGCCAGGACTCTGGGAGGACAACAAGCAGGCTCTGCTGGCCTACATGCAGCTGGTCCACCTCGGTCAGGCCTGCCGCCCCCCTGCACAGCAGAAAACGTGCCTCCTTAGGGTCATTCAGGATAAGCTCCAAAATATTACGTTAAAATTTCTATAGAGGTGCTAAATAGTGCAGACTGGTTCGTCCATTTTTGTAGATTTTCTCTATACTGAATGTTTTACATTCGCTGATATCGTATTGGTCCCAGGAGCCGAGATAATGCTGCCAGGTAAATAGACTTACAATAAGGAGCCCATTAGCAGCACAATTATCTGTGTGTGATCTAAGTCTGTTTCCCTGGGGCTGAGCATCCATTTATGCTTCTCATTTGCTTACACTGCGGAGCGTTTTCCAGTAAATCACTCATCCACTGACACTCAGACAGACTTGTGGGCATCAAGGAATGCCGATCCGCTATAAGAAAGGGCCGAAAACACTCTGCTAGCAGTCAGATTATCATGTGTACAGTCTCCCGACAGTCAGATGGAATATCAAGATGGCCGCCACCTTCTCGTTTGCTCTTTGGTCAGGTGTGAAGGGCCAGGTGCTGGATTCCAGGGGAACTCCGGTGAAGAATGCCATTGTAGAGGTACAGGGCAGAAACAACCTGTGCCCCTTCAAGACTGACCGCAATGGGGAGTTCTACAGGCTACTTCTTCCCGGCAATTACACCTTCAAGGTGAGTGAAGGGACATTCAGTGAAAGGTGCACAGCTTTCAAGGTGGATGAGGAATCCCGCTCGATTACACAAGGTGAATCTCTTTGTATAGTACATCTCATGAACAAAGGTAATTCAACAAGCTTTACATGAGAATGATATGGGTCATTCAAAATTTAAACAATAGATTAAGACCGGTTGAGAGCGAAGTTACAAGGCATATCATATAATATAAACAATAAAATTAATGCAAAATAAAAGTGTAAACTAATCTAAGGCACAAGAGAAGAACGGGGCTTTTAGTTTGAACTTAAAAATTGCTACAGCTGGGCTACAATGGAATTCCAGTTTTATGTAGCATAGTAGCGACATACTAGCTCATCATGTTTGAATATAACTCTAGGTGCCACTAGAGATCTAAGGTTTGCGAGGTGTGTAATCTTCAGGTGTGTCAGACATGTATTCTAGTCCTGAGCCATTAAGCAATTTCTAAACAGGTAGCGGCACTTTAAAATTAATTCTGTAACTAATTGGAAGTCAATGTAACGACCTGAAAATAGGAGTGATATTCTAATTTCTCTTGGTCCAGGAAAACAGCTCAGCAGCATTCTGAGTAAGTTGCAGTTGTCTAATAAGTTATTTTTAGACTAGTAGGGAGATCCTTGAAACAGTCCATCCTGCGGGTGTTAATGGCATGGATGATTTTCAGATTCTTGCCATGTTGCTGAGATGAAAAAAAGCTGATTTTGTTTTTTGCCTTGATCTGGGCATCATAGCTGATATCTGATTCCATGAAAATGTCAAGATCTCGAACTTGTTTTTTAGCCTTTAGGCTCTACGGTTGAAACACACCTTCATTTTGGGTCTGTGACACCTGAGCACCACACTAGTCCAAATGGACCAGTGTGAAGTTTTTTTTCTGGTGGCTGGAGAGTCAATCCTGTCACCAACCCCCAAGTTGTCCCCTGTAAGTTGGAGGCTGGATGTAGATTAACATCATACCCAGGANTTAACGGGGCATTTTCTGAGTTTTATTTCCCGCAATATAATCGCAACCTCTACTGCGTACACTTACGAGTGTAAATGTCTATGTCAGTTATTTTATCTTATAACCATTTCATAATTTCTGGGGACACCATTAATCATTACGAATCATTATGAATCATTATGAATCATCATGAATCATTATGAATCATTATGAATCATTATGAATATGTAAAGACCACCAGCGAAGTAAGTATTAGCATATTAACACTCATGTGGCTGTTTGTTGGTATAGGACTTATGGACAATATTTGTCAATATTGCTCTGCTGTATAAGAATTTTGCTTGTCAGTATTATTTGTCGCATCTTAAACTTTCTGTTTATGTGATGTGGTGATGGTTTCCTTGGTAACTGTCGCGACTGGTGGTAGGCGAGCAGGCAGGCGAGGATTCAGGACACGAGAGTTTATTACGGGGAATCGAGGGAAGAACAGGGCAGACAGCGACAAACATCAATGACAGATCTGGGGATACAAACTCTGACGTGGACTTAAATGCACAAGACTAAGGGACGGAAATGCAGAACGGATGAGAACAATCGGGAATTCACATGAGGTAACGAGGGGGGCGTGGCACACAGGAGGATCGTACGAGCAGGTAATGACGGTAACTTTTATTATGTATGCTATTGCAGGGGAGTATAGTAACTTATTAATCCATGATTGTTAGCTCTGAGGCCTTTATTTAATGTGATTATGCATGACAGTGTTTCCCAATACGGATGTGGACTGACTGGGAGGGAGCAAAAACATGGACCGGTTGTGGGTCCCCAAGGACTGGATTGGGAAACACTGATGCATAGTATAAACTGTGTATATTTATGGACAGTAATAAACATTTGTTCCATCCATTGTCCATAACTGCTGATGATGTACAGGGTTGGGGTGATCCTGGAGCCTTTCCCAGTAAAATGCACAAGGACCCTTGTAAGAGACATCAGTTCACCTAACCGCATGTTTTTGGACGTCGCATGTTCACACAGGTTCAATAAGCATGGCATGGATCTGAACCGGAACTTCCCAGATGCCTTCCAGGGCAACATGGATATGGCACGTGAAGTGGAGGTGCAGGCGGTGATGGACTGGCTACAGACGGAGCCCTTCGTCCTGTCCGCCAACCTGCATGGGGGCGCTGTGGTGGCCAGTTATCCATACGACAACAGCAATGAAGGTGCGTCATCAGGCAGTCACATGACTTGGTATAGGGACGTGGCTTAGGGTGCACGAGGGCCATTTTATCATATGCAAAGAGCCTGGGAACACTGTCAATCAGTGTTTCTCGACTCAGTTCTCGGGGACCTCCAGACCAGATGCTTGCAGCAGGGGAGGGGGTGCGGAAGGGGCTTGAACACTTGCCCCTTTGGCCTGAATGATTGAAAGTGCACCCCTTTTGAGGTCCTAAGAGCCCCTGTTTGATAACCAACAAAATTAACCAGTGGGGACCCCCATCCCCGAGATTGGCAAAATTATTCATTGCCATTCAAGTACCTGCTCCAGGATAAGTCTCAGCATGGCACTGGCCCAGACTGGCTACACAGACTGGCCAACACACTGGTACCAGGTACCCAGTGTTCTTGAATGTTCTTGATTGTTTGGTTCATGTGTGATGGGGGCTGGGAGGAGGAAAAAATGTGGATGGTGTGGGAGTCCCTGAAGACTGGATTGAGAAGCACTTTAGATAGTATCATCAAGCTTCTGGAGTAACTGTTGCAAATTGTAGACAATCAGCATTTCTGCTAACGCTGTCTGAACTAGGAAGTGAGCTGCAGTCGGGCTCTAGTGTCTCCCCTGACGATGACGTCTTCATCCACCTGGCCAAGACCTACTCATTCACACACAAGAGCATGCATAACGGTAACAGCTGTTACGACTTGAAGAACTTCAAGGATGGCATCACCAATGGCTTTAACTGGTATCCTCTTAAAGGTCAGTCTTTCTGCTCCTCCAGCTTACTGCTTTCTGTTGATCTTAAATCAAAGGTAAATTAGATGTAAAAATATACAGTAAAACAACAGCATCAGGAGATAACAACAAATTCTTTTTGTATTTTGGAGACTATTTAATGGTGGGGTCTCTACTTAATACCTACAAACTAGAAACCAATGGAAAGTCAATCTGCGTAAGATGTATGTTCAATGGAAAAATGGAAGGATTCTGAAAAGACCTCCATATACCACATGTTTTCACAGCATAGAACATTTTGTTTAAATAAACCTTTACAACTCAGTCTGGTTCCTGGTTGGGGAAAAAAAACTTAAATACATGGCTTGTGATTCCATCCTACAATTACATTTTTAAATGCTGGACCAAAGGGTCAGGTGACAGAAAAGACAACGCTGCAGTCAGTTTGGCCGAGGACTAATGTCAAACCCGCTCGTATCGTTCAAGAAAGCTGTGGATTGATGTGGTGTTACAGAAAATATTTATGCTCTAATCAGACACGAGGAAATTCCAGAAAAAAGTCAACAGAATTGGATAACACAGACAAATTATAAGGTGAATTGGTATAATGGGAGAGTTTGCCCTGAAACCAAATCGCATTAATTTCACTTTATTTCTGTGACACCATGTTTACTTTGCTTCTGTCAGACTGGGGACCATAAATGATTACAGGAAAAACCGTTTGGAATCCAGTCAAGTAAGAAAAAGGACTGTAGGTGCTGGAAGAGCCTTTCTTACGATGTTCTTTCGTTTTTAGGAGGGATGCAGGATTACAATTACATCTGGGACCAGTGTTTGGAGCTCACACTGGAGCTGTCCTGCTGCAAGTACCCCCCCGAGACTGACCTGCCAGGACTCTGGGAGGACAACAAGCAGGCTCTGCTGGCCTACATGCAGCTGGTCCACCTCGGTCAGGCCTGCCGCCCCCCTGCACAGCAGAAAACGTGCCTCCTTAGGGTCATTCAGGATAAGCTCCAAAATATTACGTTAAAATTTCTATAGAGGTGCTAAATAGTGCAGACTGGTTCGTCCATTTTTGTAGATTTTCTCTATACTGAATGTTTTACATTCGCTGATATCGTATTGGTCCCAGGAGCCGAGATAATGCTGCCAGGTAAATAGACTTACAATAAGGAGCCCATTAGCAGCACAATTATCTGTGTGTGATCTAAGTCTGTTTCCCTGGGGCTGAGCATCCATTTATGCTTCTCATTTGCTTACACTGCGGAGCGTTTTCCAGTAAATCACTCATCCACTGACACTCAGACAGACTTGTGGGCATCAAGGAATGCCGATCCGCTATAAGAAAGGGCCGAAAACACTCTGCTAGCAGTCAGATTATCATGTGTACAGTCTCCCGACAGTCAGATGGAATATCAAGATGGCCGCCACCTTCTCGTTTGCTCTTTGGTCAGGTGTGAAGGGCCAGGTGCTGGATTCCAGGGGAACTCCGGTGAAGAATGCCATTGTAGAGGTACAGGGCAGAAACAACCTGTGCCCCTTCAAGACTGACCGCAATGGGGAGTTCTACAGGCTACTTCTTCCCGGCAATTACACCTTCAAGGTGAGTGAAGGGACATTCAGTGAAAGGTGCACAGCTTTCAAGGTGGATGAGGAATCCCGCTCGATTACACAAGGTGAATCTCTTTGTATAGTACATCTCATGAACAAAGGTAATTCAACAAGCTTTACATGAGAATGATATGGGTCATTCAAAATTTAAACAATAGATTAAGACCGGTTGAGAGCGAAGTTACAAGGCATATCATATAATATAAACAATAAAATTAATGCAAAATAAAAGTGTAAACTAATCTAAGGCACAAGAGAAGAACGGGGCTTTTAGTTTGAACTTAAAAATTGCTACAGCTGGGCTACAATGGAATTCCAGTTTTATGTAGCATAGTAGCGACATACTAGCTCATCATGTTTGAATATAACTCTAGGTGCCACTAGAGATCTAAGGTTTGCGAGGTGTGTAATCTTCAGGTGTGTCAGACATGTATTCTAGTCCTGAGCCATTAAGCAATTTCTAAACAGGTAGCGGCACTTTAAAATTAATTCTGTAACTAATTGGAAGTCAATGTAACGACCTGAAAATAGGAGTGATATTCTAATTTCTCTTGGTCCAGGAAAACAGCTCAGCAGCATTCTGAGTAAGTTGCAGTTGTCTAATAAGTTATTTTTAGACTAGTAGGGAGATCCTTGAAACAGTCCATCCTGCGGGTGTTAATGGCATGGATGATTTTCAGATTCTTGCCATGTTGCTGAGATGAAAAAAAGCTGATTTTGTTTTTTGCCTTGATCTGGGCATCATAGCTGATATCTGATTCCATGAAAATGTCAAGATCTCGAACTTGTTTTTTAGCCTTTAGGCTCTACGGTTGAAACACACCTTCATTTTGGGTCTGTGACACCTGAGCACCACACTAGTCCAAATGGACCAGTGTGAAGTTTTTTTTCTGGTGGCTGGAGAGTCAATCCTGTCACCAACCCCCAAGTTGTCCCCTGTAAGTTGGAGGCTGGATGTAGATTAACATCATACCCAGGACAAGGCAATTCCAGGTTAAGGGCCTTGCTCAAGGACTAAATGGGGTAGAATGGCTCTGGGCATTCCCGGGATCTGAACCAGTAATCTTCCAGTTGCTGGCACAGATCCCTAGCCTCAGAGTAGAGACCTGCGTGGGACGGATTTTTCAGTCCCGCTCCTGCCCGCTCCCGCAAGATTCTGTCCCGCTCCCGCCCGCTCCCGCAAAAAATATATATTATTTTCTCCCTGTCATGTTCGGGCTAGCGAGCTGGCGGTCAAGCAGGCAAGCGGAGCCGTGGATCAGGATAGACGGGGTTTATTCGACGAACAGGCAGGGAAATGGAGGCTGGACATCAAACGCAACATTACATCACAATGACAAATCTGGGGAAAACTGACTGAGACTAGGACTAAATACACGAGACAAGGCAAACGGAATAGGGAACAGGTGACGACAATCAGGATTCCGTCAGGAGGTAATGAGGGGGCGTGGCACACACGAGGAGCGTTCGGAGCTGAACATGACACTCCCGCTCCCGCTCGCAAAATCCCGCAGGTAAACATATAAGCAGTTTTATTTTTACCGCTTCTTCCCGCTACTCTGATATTTGTTTCACTTGCTTACCTTCTGAGTATATATAAAAAAGAAACGGAAAATAAACAAATATGTTTCGTTTTATTTGAGTTTAATTAAATGGAATGATGAACATGAACACGAACGAGGAGCTTTTCAGAACATTCAACATGCCATCCCGTCCAAGCACCAGGCTGATTCCTTCTTGGGGTGTCCGGTTACGTCCCCCGGCACTCACTGAGCGGCAATTGTAGTTTCTGTAGACGATTCGCCTGTAAATTGTTATTATTTTAATTTAGTCGATCTTGTTGCTTTTGTGCAGTAGATAAATAATAGAGTATTTGTTTTTAATAAATTAATTTTAAGATAATTCCATTTTGCGGGAGTCCCACGATTAATTCTATTCTCCCGCAACCCGCACGTACATGAGGATCTTACCGCCCGCACCCGCATTCACCCATCAAATCTTGTCCCGCGCCGCACTCGGTGCGTTGGATCCCGCGGGAGTGCAGGTCTCTACCTCAGAGCCACCACTCTGCCCGGTGACAGAGCCGTCTATTAATGCTGAGCTGGGTTGTACCTAGAAATTCTGGGCCCCCTGACAAAATGCCACCTTGGGCCCCTGCCCAATTTCACTGAACCACAAAAAACGTACTTCATCTGCTGCTGAGTCCATGTGTGCTGCACTAAAGTGAGTTTGCTGATTCCAAGTCAGATTTTGTTTATCACATCGGGATCTTAAGCATGCATGTTAAAAAAATTAAACTGCATTATGCAGAAGTGCTTTCTATCCCACACTGATGTATTCACAACAACAAAACAGACGAAAATGTACTGAAATAAAAATATTATATTTCAAACGTTTGACCTTAAGCTCAATGTTATACTGTTCAAACGCTTTAAGCACTGGCCTTTGCCCTTGCAAGTGGTTGTCTTATCTGTTGCTGAAACCAGCAGGAGCCACCAGTCATGGAATAAATAATAAAATAAATCCTTCACTTGCCATTTGCACAGGTACACTGGAATTCTTGCCTACCCCATCTTTCTTTACAAGGCTTGGGGGTCACAGTGCAGAGTCAGTCAATGTGCGGCACCCCTGGAGCTGGGGGTTAAGGGCCTTGCTCACACAGACATGTGACTTATTTGCTGAGGCTGGGGCTTGAATTGGCAATCTTCCCATCACAGAGACTGCTCCCTGTGGTGAGTGGTTGGGGTCAAACTGGCCTTCATATCTTGTTTCCATGGCACAAATATCGTGATGATATCCCTTGATGATATCCCTTGATGATATCCCTTGATGATATCCCTTGATGATAATGGCTGCTGTCATTAGAGCTATTCCGTAGATGGAAAGTACGTATGTTTTGATTTGTGTACTGTAAGCCAAGGAGAAGTGATACCACTTTCAGATCATGTCTTTTAATAGGAATCAGCACCCCCCCGAATCTGCCACAGAATCCAAGCCCCTCCAACACTAAAACTAAACAAGGGAACACACTTGTCCTCTTAGGTGAAAGGGGGCTGCTAAAGAATGTTTGGATTTTTAAGTATGAAGCGGCACCAAAGAGCTCCATAGAGTCATTGTTTAAGGGGTCAGATTGCTCTTTTCGGACATCATTCAAGCCAGCATGCGGCTGCTTGATTATTATACATACTGTGCCATTGGGTTAGCTGAGATTCACATCGCAAGGTTCAATGACCCCGGCTCTCATGGAGATTTATGTTCGTTATTGTGGGTTAGACAGTGCCATTGGGTTAGCAGCCTATAATCAGGCCTTTGCTGCCCACAATAAGAACTGCAGACTGGGCAGCAGAATCGGGTCGAGAGTCGGTGCTTATGAGGCCCCAGATTACTACAAGCCTGTTTACACTGACCATCTTTATCCTTGTCAGGCTGAATAGGGTCCTTTTTCTAAGAAGTTCATTCACACAGATGTACTAAATGGTCCAAACATATTTTCCATGTTTATTGATGGCAGTAGTGCTATGTTTCTGTGTTGTGATAGCAGTAGTGTTAGCCAGTTAGCTTTAACTTGTTGGGAAAAATCTGGGACAGAGAACTCCTGCTCAGCAAACCGGGAATTCCTTGATTTAAGTTTAGCACCTTATAGGAGCCATTGGCCTTCAGTGTCGTTGGAATTTGATTCACGTGCCCTGAGACAACTTTATGTAGTTTCGGACTGCTTTCTGGTGCCAAGCAAGGTCCTGATGACTCATTTATTGGTAGGGGGAAAGCGCTGGAAAGTTCTCTATTGTCCCCTGATCAATGTGGGGGCAGAAGGGTGAGCGTCACTATCTCCATCGTAACAATCTCTAGCAATCTGTGATGAGTCCAGAGTGAGAGGAGGAATTCCTTGGCAGTAGTTTAGAAGATATCGGGCTACTTCTCTCTATTTAATGAAATGTTTAACGAAAACTCCCAACTCTCAAAAGGTTTTAGCCCGTAATTTTACCAAATACGCTAAAAATGAGAGAAAATGTGCAAAAGATGGACACCGTGCTGCCCAGGAGAGGCCAAATATGAAAACTTTTGTAGGAATTAGCTGAAACAAAGACAAACAAAGAGGAGCTAAGAATGATGGAGGCAGAGCAGGGAAGCAGAAGAAGTAAGACAAGCTGCAATCGACGCAGTTCGTCTGTCTTACAGGCTGCCTGGTAGGAAAAGCAGGGTCCTCTGATAAAAACCACTGAGCTTATTATCACAGTCTGATCCATCCAGGTATCACATAACCTGTAATGACCTTCCATGCAGTGACCCCTGTGCCATGGGGGAAATGTGAGGAGATTCAGTAACAGATCCTTCAAAAGACAGATCTGTCAGGCACATCCTGAGCTGTGCTCTAGGGATGAGCTCAGTGTAGGCATGAGTAAAACACTCACAGACAAATAAATGCTTCTTTTCTCTAAACATTCTAATTGCGCCATACCTTCTCAACCAAATAGGCTTATTATGAATAAAAATATAAAGGTATTATATTTAAACTAAGCAGGATTTGCAGTGGGCGATCTACCTGATCCTGTCAGTTTGTGAAGCTGAAATGTGTGTATCGTTCTGTAAACACAAAACATTTTTTAGCAGAATCTGCTTTTCATGGAAACTGTAGGGCAGCAAACCTGAAGACCCGCTGCCCTCTGTAAGCGTTAGATCAGGCGCGACTCATTTGGCAAAGGACACTCCATAAGTTCCAGTGTAAACACTGGTCCAAAGACTTTTGGCTGTAATGGGGAAATTATTCCTTAACCAAACAGGTGCCACTTAGTTCAATATTTGAGTCAGATGTAGAATATAATGTATCTGTCTTGGGTAAACACTATGGAGAAGCACTGATTGTAACATTAACAGAACTAAGTGAATCCAGACCTTTTTAGCAGCAATTAAAGGTCAAGACTAAGATGTCACTGATGTGGGATGAGCTCTCAGATCACAGAGACCTAAGAAAAGGATAGAAGGGCCTGTAATCCTGGTGCTGGTCTCCTTTCTCCCCACACCATGTACAGCCAATCAGTGGCTTCATCAAGTTAACCAATCACAAAGGAGGCATTCAAAGTCGCCACCATGCTGATTGCCTTTGTTGTGGCGGGATGGTTGCATCTCCACTTCTGTGGTGAAATGATCATTTCCATCCTGTCATCCCAGGAATAGTCTGGGCTGAAGGAGAAGTATTTACAGGGACAGAAATCAGAGTGGCTCCAGTTTGGGCTTTATTCTGCATTGTAGAATTTAACACCACCTTCCAACACCCTTCCCCCAAAGCAGTGAGGCTCTTCTCCAGTGCCTTGGGACACCAGTCTGTCACAGGCACTTGAGTTCATGTCACCCAACTGAGAACAGTTTTCTACTCTGTCACTGATCGCTTCACAGTCTCACGTTATTCCTGCATAGGTCCCGCTTAGTGTGGTTTTTAATCCAAGGACTTGAAAGATCTAGTAATGTATTATTAACTAAGGACAAAAACGTGACTTAAAGGAGTATGCCGACCAAATCCCACCCTGAACAGATGCATTGTTACATTCCAGCTCTGTCACAAAGTAACGCCACGATCTCACTTTAGTGCTGTGGTACCTCGGACAGTATAATCAGTGCAGGAATTCCACAGTACTATGTAATGGTATGCACCGTGGAAGTAAATAATGCAGAACAACCCGATCCAATCATTGCATACATTTTGATCATTGGGAATGCCACCTCGGAAAATCCAGGAACATCCAAAAGACGGAATGAGGCACAGCAAATCTTACAAAGCACCACTATTCTTTCTACCTACCAACCCAGAGAAGTCAAGCACTGTTCTTATCAGTTCGGGGGTATGCTGAATGGGAGGGGGCAGAGTAACAGATAAAACCACTAAGGGTGTGATTCTCTTTCCAGAAAATAAAGCAGGGAAATGGATACAAGACAGTAATCCACAAAGGATGTTACCAGTATACCTCAAGGGTGTTAACCGCAAAGCCCCAATGGGAACAAAAATCACATTATGGTGACTAGCTTTTCTAAAGCTTTTTAGATGGTATCATCAAACAAATGGGCTTCCCGGCAATGGCAGAGTCAGGCTTAAATCCCATGTTAATGCTGAACTGCGGCCAGCGACTGTCGAGGACGGATGACATGTTTTTCCTGCAGACACTGGGCCCCACCTGGGCGGGCAGCCATCAGCCTGTCAGGAGCGATTCCGCACCCTCAATCGCTGGCGGTCTACACCATCATCATCATCAGTATCATTACATCCATATTCTAACCGCATTTCCTGGTCAGGGGCCGGTGGTGTGGGGACGACTTACAGTCTATAGCTTAGACATACATAACGTGAGCAATACTATAATATAAAGTACTATAATAATATACTATAATACTATACTGTAAAGAGAGGGGGGTGTGTCCTGATAGAGGAGTCGAATGGCCCGAGGATAAAAACTCCTCCTGAGTCTTTCTGTCTTGGCCATGATGGTGCAGAACCTCCTGTCTGATTGCAGAAGCTGAAACAGTTCATCTTTTACAATCCTTATAGCTCTGGATCTACACCTCCTTGTGTAAATGTCCTGCAGTGAAGGGAGAGCTGACCTGCAGCAGTGTTCCGCTGCACAGATCATTCTCTGAAGGGCTTTTTGATCCAAAACGCAGCATTTGCCGTACCAGGACGAGATGTTCTGTGTGAGGATGCTCTCCACAGTGCCGGAGTAGAAAGACTTTAGGACAGCAGAGGAGACCCCAAACTTCCTAAGCTGTCTGAGGTGGTACAGACGCTGCTTTGCCTTTTTTGCCTGAACACAGATTTGTTCAGCCCACGTCAGGTTCTGAGAGATGTAGACACCCAGGTGCTTGATTTTGCTCACCCTCTCCACTGGAGCTCCGTTCCTTCTCCACTGGAGCTGCGTTCCTTCTCCACTGGAGCTCCGTTCCTTCTCCGTTGGAGCTCCGTGCTGTGTCCCTCCACACCCTACAGGGAGGAGAAAAGGCCATTTCTGCAGCAAGTCATTCTCCACCGTCCAGATTACGGGCAACATTTGGTCTCAGTCAGTGTGACGGCTGGATGAAGAAGCTTTATTTGGTAGCAGTAGATTGCAGAAGATTATAGATGTTTCAGGGGAGTGCAGCCTGTATGGTCATCAGGGCCAACACTGACTTGAAGGCAGCCAGTAACAGTAATAGCAACTCATCATATCCATCCTCTAACCACTAATCCTGGCCCAGATTACAGAAAATAATAATACAAAGAGAAGCACAATTACAAGTTTCGTAAGAGTACGAAATTATACATATTACTCTTTATAGGAACATTCGTGTCTCCCAGTTCCATCATCGGGAAAAGATGAATGTGGGAAAGCCGTGAAATTAATGTGTTTTCCAAATGTTCCGTTCCCAGGGCCAGTGTTTATCACCACTTAAACCACGCATTTCCTGTTGGCCACATTCAGCCACTGCACTTGAGGAATGGGGGGGTAGGGGTGGCTGCAGATTCTACATGTTACTTGAGACAAATGGACTGGCATTTAATACAAACCTTCCTCCTTCCTGAACAGGTGACGGCTCCAGGTGAGGAGCCCCTTACTGAGACCCTGTCCATCCCGTACGGACCGGACAGGTACTCCGCCCTCACGCACAACTTCATAACCCCTTGGCGCAGCGGCAGCCCGCAAACCACGCAGCCGACGGAGACCTGCGGCCTGATTCTGCGCAACACGGATCTCAGCAACAGGGGCGCCTTCTTGGACAGACCCCTCGCACTCCTGCTGCCACTGCTGCTCTGCAGACTGCTTCTGTGAGAAGCACCATCATACTGCTGACTTGGTCACGTGACACGATCACGTGACATTTGAGCTTTTTTAATGGACTGTTTTAATAGTCCTTCATTTGCGTAGTAAAAGAGCTTTTTTTAGTTAAAAAAAATGTCTAGACTTTCATGCAGTGGCAGTGGAACGGAAGTTTGGAAGGAGCAGCAATGAAGAAACTTTCTATAAGATCCCCAGTGGATGACTTTACCAGTGTGTTAAACAGGGACACCCCTCCTTATCAGTGCATTTTTGACATCCAGGAATAACACCTCTAGTACCAGAAAGAACATAGATCTTCATGAGAGCCGGGGTCATTGAACCTTGCGATGTGAATCTCACGCTTCCCATCTGCAGGCCCCCTGGTGTCTGACTGAGCACATGCCTGTGCAGAAGTGCTACAGCAATAACAACAGCATGACAGTGTGCTGACAGAGGAATCAAACAGGGCCATCATGGGCTAGCACAAGGTAACTCAACTTTGGCCAACTAAGATCACCCAAACATAAAAGGAAGTATTTATTTGAAGGATTATTCTACTTGGAACACAATTATTCACAGCAGAACAGATTATGGTGAAGAAAGCTAAGACGAAAAAGAAACAATTATTAGAGTTTTGCTTTTTTATTACATTATTCTATATTCCTTACTGATTCCCGTAATATAGGCCTACTTTAAACTTTCAATTTCTAATTTTCTTATTGTTGTAAATCCTTTTCAGTAATAATACTTTAAGCAGATAGTGTAAAAATCCTTTTTATTTATAAAATTTACTTTTACCTACACCTGTCTTTAAATTATTAATTTAGTATAGATGCTATTTAACATTAGCGTTGTTTTGTAAATATATTCAAATATACACATTTTTTGTTTATCTCAGAAAATATTTATCTGAATCACCAACAGTGCATGCTTCCATTATGTGTAATTCTATATAATTTAGATTTTTTATAGCTAAATAAGGTTAAGTCATTTAATGTGTACTCTGAATAATCACGCAATTGTATCATTATAACTACTACATGAGGCACCCCTCATATATTTTAGCATAATTTAACTTTTACCACTGATGACTATACTATATGTGTATTAGTATAGTTATTAGTGAGGCGACATAGCAAGTTTTCTGGCTGCGTCATAGCGTGGAATGAGGATATTGGCGAACAATCTCTGATCAGCGAGTAACTTCTGAGAAGCTGCAATGTTTGGGGAAGCACTTCCCAGCTGAGTATATGACACCCAGGGTGTCAGCAGCTGCTGCAAAATATCTCTACAAAGTCTCAAATGCTTTTGACAGCACCTGTGGGGAATCTGTGCCCCTGACAAAAATCACAGAAAAGAGGAGATTTAAAAGACAACTGGAGATTATCATTTTTATCTTGCCTGTCAATCTTCTCGTGTCCCTTGGAGATCACTGCATCTCTCACTGCGGATTGCAGGGACACAGTATAAAGCTTCCTGCTCCCGCCTCATACCAGCACTGCTCTTCATTGCTGCATTTTTGCAGAATGACTGGGATCGCGATGTTTATGGAACAGACCATTATCCTCATCATTTACTAGTCTAGTCTGCCAATTGACATTTGTAGGCACTGTTTATATGTTCTCTGTAGGCAAGATTGAGCTTTATTCTTGCAAAACCTTTCTCTCAAATTATTTCTGTGCGGTAATGAGACACATTGGCATTCTTATTCAGGAAATGATGAATTTATACTGTTTGTGTAAGTTATAATACAGCAACTATTGCCATGCCAAATGCACTTTCAGATTGTAGTACAAAACATGAGCAATATCCTGGTAAAAACTTGATATTTCATAGATCATTTCTTTCTGACCTCCAGTACAGACCGAGAGGGCAGCTCCGGAGCACAGGGAGGTATTCAATAATCCACAAGGAAACCTAACTCAGCTTTTCAGTAGGCCAAACCTCAGCCATTCTACCTCACCTCACAAACTATTTGTTGCTGTTCCAATGGAAAGCGTACTGTGCCTTTAATAAATAATTTTCACCATAAATACCTGTAGTCATTTATACCAACTAATTACAGGTCCAAAAGCCCATACTAACATTTATGAAGCATGTTTACTGGCATGCAGAGTACCAGTCAAAATTCTGGACAACACCTGCTTATAATGCATTTTCTGTTAGCCATATTATTCACTTTATTATAAATGTAAAAATTAAATAAAATATCAAATATTGCAGCAAGGGAAATGTTCAAAATCTCAAAATTTTCTCAAATTTTAGACTCTTCAAAACACAGTAGTCTCCTTTTGCTGTGATGACAGCAGTCTCTCTGCATTCTCTCTACCAGCTTCCAGATGTAGCCACCTGGAATGCTTCTCCAACAGTCCTAAAGAGTTTTCACAAGTTCTGGGCACAGGTTGACTACCTTGCTCTTACTTGTCAATCCAATTAATCTCTAACCAGCTCCATATGGCTTACGTCGGGGGATTGTGGGGGCCAGGTCACCTGCTGCAGCACTCCATCTCTTTCTCACTCTCTCTCTGATCTTCATCTTTTTCCTTGTTCACAGGATAATACCACATAATGACCATAAGCACACCTCCAGGTTAACAGAATAAACTTAATCTTAAAATATCTAATTCACTTTGAACATAGATGATTTCGGGCACACAACACAAAATAATCAATTGTACAGTATTAAGACGTTGTCAATAATGTAGGTGAATTAATAATTTTACAATGACATTAACATTTTAAAACATTTTGTTGACTTGAGTCTAAACAATTCAACCAAATGAATGTCATGTAAACTCTCTTTAGTGAACCTTATTAAGACAGTATTTTCTCTCTGTTGAAGTAATGCCCACTAAAGTAAGTGGACATTGAACATTTCAGTCAGTGCTGGGAAAGTAATGTGTGGCTCCATGCATTGTAATAAACCGGCACCACATTAGCTTTTATTGCCCTCTAGTGGTGATTCATCTCAACAGGTCTTCTAATGGAATTTGTGTTACTTCTTGCAGGTGGAATACCAATACAAATCCAGTTATCAATTTGCTCCAAAAAGACAAAATATATAGATACAGTGGGTCACATGGTCTGTGGGGAAAAAGTATCCTCAGGGGCACAACTTTAACCCCATCGTTCTGGGGGGGGGGGGGTCAGATTTACAACCGAAGAGGCCATCACTACCCCCGCACGCTCATCTGACGTAAATATAGTAACATCCACACATGCTGAATTTTACCAAGAATCCCCAAGACACGTAATAAACATAAAGCATTTATTTGCATCTATTTGTACATACACAAGTGATTGCCCAACAAAAGCCTAAAATAAATTATACAAACAACACAATGAACCCCACGACAAGCAGGAGCATCACTAGAGACTGGTGAAATGTGTGACATTTACTGGGCGTGGCGGGCGGTCTGATTTTAATCAAAATAAATGACAACACACCATTTACACACAAGTTAGTGTTCATCTATGGCGGGAGGGCTGAATGCCCCGGGAAACAGCCTTAGCCACGCCCCTGATAAGACAAAATTATTTTATATTACCGAGCGGTTACAATGGAAAAAACAAAACACCACACACACACACACGCGCCAAACGAACGCAGTTTCTACGGTAAGGTGCCGGTATTCGATTCAGTGCATCTGCACAGCAGTTACGTCTCACTAGCAGGACGGCCTACGCAACGATTTGTTTTTATAACCTCAGCTGCATCAGGGTGAGTAAAACAAGTTAGGAATGTTCAATTTACTAGTTGTTAAAAGTCTTTCCCTTTAAACAAATCAAAATACTATATCGATACATTGTAAATATTGTTGCGATTTCGTATAAGAGTTACATAAAGCAAACTGCCTTTAGTATATTGACAGCAAACTTCGGTATTAATGCACTACAAAATTCAACGTGAAACAATGCAATTAAATATTACATACGTAATATATTTTACATTCTTAGTGTCGTAAATCAAAATATAACAGAAATATACAAGCTATCAGTTGCTACGACAAATTAAATCCCCCTGAAAAACAACGTTTAGTACCGTAGAAAGTAACTAGTAATTTTAATAACTTCAAATCAAAATTCAACATATTCAGAAAAAAGGGTACAGCCCTGGTAGCCACACATTAATGTGCCCCCAACAGTACAAAAATGTTCCTCGGATATTTCTGTATGTTAAAAGGTACATTTAACTACAGCTATGGTACATTTGGCAGACCTATAAGGGTACAACCCGTGAGAAATAATTGTACCCTCAAAGGTTTTCTGACAGTGTATACGAGACACAAGCCAGAGATATTCAGACAAAATAAGCCTAATTTTCCGAAACTCACACCCTACCCTTTCAACAGACTGTCGGTGTTCGTTACAACGTAGCGAAAAATTGACTTTGTTTTGCAGAAAACATTGTATGGCTACAAAACTCATTAAACAAATGTAATCAACGCAATTAACGCTGATCCAACACGAGCGCGCAGTCGAGGCGGCAATAAATGACAAAGGTGTGAGGCGTACCGACTGCACCCTTAATTTCTATTGGCTAACGCTTCTGCTCCCTCTAGTGGACAGAATAAATTTGCTCTGAAGTGGGATCAAGCGCTTTGTACATTTAAGTTGACAAACAAGCACATTCGTTTTAATACCATTAACATTTTGCTACATTAAGATGTTTAAAAGGTATACAACATTTCTTAGCTGCATGTTAAATCAGCCAGCTTCGCTTTCAAAGGTTCGGTAGCTACTAGCTATAAGATTAATGTCATTTGACGTATTGGTGGCGGATGGCTACATCTACCGAGTTATAGCGCATTTAAGTTTGATTAAATATGTAAAACATTCTCTGGCATTTTTGGTGGCACTTCCAACAGGCCTTAAATATAGTGTGTCAAGAATTTTCTTGTGAATAGAATTCATACCAACCCAGCTGGCCTTTTACACTTATTCCTGTTATCTGAAAAGTATCTCCTCTACTTGAAAATCACAAAGCAGTAATATCTTAAATAATGAAATACATTTTACCAGGCTTAATCAGTAAGGGGAAGACATTTTTTCTGTCAATCTTTCAAGACCATGGGGCAAATATATGTATATGTTTTGATGCTTAGTGACAACACAGCACCCCACAGGAGTTTAGGGGGCACCGTGAACATTTCTCCTGAACAAGCTGTGTGAATATCTAGGCAGGGTACCTTCTGCCCACTAAGGACTCACTACAAATGGCAATTGCAGTCACTGTACAGATATGTGTGCACTGGGATCAGTAATGAGCTCATCCCACAATATTACCGAGGAGCATCTGAAAAGGCAGCACTATCCTGACAGAAGTATCTCAGTCAAGGCCAACTGCAGCACCCAGTCAGCACTTCAGCCACACTTTCTCCACTTGAGAGCAGATACCTGGAATCCTCAAAGCCCATCCTGACATTGGGGCTACATCAGTAACAGGAAGAGAGACTTTATGCCATTGGTCCTTTAAAAGCCTAAAACAGGCAATTCCACCAGCAACATTTACATGACTGTTGTTTTCCAGTCAACTTAACAATAAAACAGTAATTTATTTAAATACGACTGACTCTGTTTACTTCTTCGAAGACAAAAATCTGAACACAGGAAGAAACCAGCTCAGACATGCAGCAAAGCCATTTAGCCCCAAAATTTTGGCTCTGTTAATGCACTCAGTTTAAACACCAAACACAGAGTTTTAAATAAATATAACCCTTTTGCCATGAAAGCGCAATATAAATTTATTAAATTAGAGTGAACTCTGAGGGCGGTGCTTCAGCTCAGGTAGGTCAGCACCACAGACTGGATGGGCTCCCGGCACACAGGGCACAGCTTGTTGCGGTTCTTCAGCTTCTTGGCGCAGGTGTAGCAGGACATGAGATGGCCGGTGCGGCCGTGAACGATGCAGCCGTTCTTGGGCCGGCTCTGGCAGATGACGCAGGGCTCCAGGCAGCTGGACGGCAGGTAGGCCTCCAGGCTGTTGAAGCGCTCCAGCTCGGGGGCCTCCTCCTGGCTGCTCCCGGCACTGGCGCTCGAGGTGGAGGGCTGCGAGCAGCTCTCCTGGGGCCCAGACGCCGCCGCCGCCGCCTCCTCCTTGGGTTCGACACTTGGGGGTGAAATGGCCAGCTTGCCATCGGGGACGTCCAGCCCCTCCTCGGCATCAGCCACAGGGGGCTTTGGAGGCAGGGCCTTGTGGTCGGCGCCTGCGGCGTCCGACTCGGGCAGCCAGTGATCACGCACCGTCCAGCAGCGCTGGCAGAGGCGTGGCAGGGGAGGGTTGAGCTCCTCGCACTTGGAGCACTTCCAATAGTCCTGAAACAGGATGTCCAGTTCGGTTACAACCAGGCCTCTCAGGTCTCATTACATCGTTGCAAACATCCCATCCAAACTTCAAAAAAGTTTCAAATTACATCCCAAAAAGCTGTAATGCCAGAATGCACAAGGCAGGGGGCACTGTGAGCAAGAGGCCAGTCCATCACAGGCCACACACACCCCATCACACAATAGGGGAAATTTAGAGACACCAGTTTATTGTAATGATACATCTCTGAACTCGAATGCGAGGGCATCAAAGGGCTAGTGTTCCAGCAAGATCATTACCTCCCTGCCCCCCCTCACGGACACTCTCCATACCCTCCACACCCGCAGAGCCATCAGCATTGCTGGAGACTCCTCCCACCCCTTACACTCCCACTTCAGCCTCCTGCCTTCAGGGAGAAGGTACCGGACCCTCCGGGCTCCACAAGACTCTTCAACAGCTTTATCCACCAGGAGACTGAATGTCCTTCACTCCCCACTCTGCCCCCTGACAGTAATATATTCACTGACTACCTCTTTTTCCTTTTTTTTGCACTATAATCTCAAGGACTATTTACATTTCATACCTTTCCGCTGCTAATTTGAATTTGACTTGTATGATTACTACAATTTGCACAACTTATATATTGTTACAACGGCCTTTTTTGTCGATATGTCTCTTGCCTTGTCAGTTTGTCTTGTTTTGTGTATTTTTATATAGAGTGTCTATTCAAATTCAATTAATTTTGTAATCTAGATTAAACTTTCTAGTTCTAATTGGAGGGTTCGCACACCAGTGAGCGAGAAACGGCATTTTGGTTCTCATGTATGTCTTGCACATAAATTGATAAAATATCTTTGAATCTTAATTTTAAAATAACCTACACAAAACTAGAGTGTGAATTCAAACCCTCAACCCTGGAGGTGTGAGGCTACAGTGTCACCAACTGAGCCACTATAACACCCATCTACTCTAGATATTTGTAATAATGATGAATACTACAAATGCAGTCATTGAGGTACATGAACTAAGACCTAGAAGAGGAGAACTAGCCATGAGAGAGCAACCTACTGCCTCTGAAATTTCAGTGTCCTCCTCAAAGGAGTCTTCATCCTCTGCCTCAAAGATGACCTCGTACACCTGCGGGAGAGAGTGGGGAAGAGTGAGCCCAGCTGCCACGACAACAGAACGGCTCCCTTCACCCAGCGAGGGATGCGAGCAGTAACCTCGTCTACTCCTGACGCGTCCGACGCCTCGTCGTTCTCGCTGTAGGCATCCGAGTTGACGGACTCCACCTCAAACTCCACACTGAAGTGATCTGAACCGGAGTCTTCGCTGTCGCTCAGTATCAAGTCGTTGCGAGTTGTTCCTATGCAGGAGGTAGTCATGTGAACACGGTCTTCAAAGATCTGCACAGAAATGGGGGAGGGAAGGCCAGTTGAGTTTAATTATGGTATGACACCCTGCCCAGAGTGGGCACTGATAATGTTCACAGACACAGTGTAATGTTACATTCTCTCTCGCTCTCTGTCACAATCATTGTTCACTATGTATCATAACAGATATGTATGAAATGAAAAATGAAATTCTCTCTGGTGACTCCTTTACTCTGTCACCCCCCATGAAGTACCCAACCAACAAGAGGCACAGTCACTGATGGCGAGTACTGACACACTCAGTGGTAACACACACACAGCAAATAAACAGTTCTGTGGGGACCACCTTTCACTGCCCAGTTTAACTCAATGGAAACCAGTAGATACCAACAACATGTGGGTAGCCAATGGGGACTGTAGGACAGTAGCACTCTTACCAAGCTCCCGTCGGACTCTGACGACTCGCTGGCCCTCCGCTCCTTCCCAAGGCCGCTGATCACGCACCACGACAAGCTGTCGTCAAATGTGAGCGAGAAGCTGTCCGATTTGTGCCTCTTTCTGTGGCTGTGTTCCTCGTCTGTGGAGGTTCCTGCAGAGAGTCAAGGTGGCGATACTGATGAGAGAGACGGCAGGACACGTGTGAAGCCATTCTGTACGTCACACTGTAACATCAGATTGTACTCCGGAAAATACCACTGTTCCAGAAAGAAATCATAAGTGCCAGAATAATGAGTCTTGTAGTATTTACTTATTAGCTATTATGTAACATCTATGCAGTAATGGCAAATGAATTGCTTATTTCTCCTTGCAACATGATACCCAGCAATTTGTTCATCAAGACTCTACTCTTGGCTATACCAACAAAACTCCAAGAGTATGCATCTACTTGGAGAAAGACACTCTGACAGATACCTGACTGAGAACTACAAGTTATCATTCCAAGGTAGGAAGGGGAGGCTTTTGCTTGACTTGAGCATAACTTATCAACCAGTATTTATACACAGCTTAAGCTGGAGTTAAGACTCAAGGCACTTTTCTGTTTGTGACCTCCATGTGGTTTATTCTGAAAAGGACTAATGTAGCCTTGCTGTAGCACATCTGTCACACAAACAAGTCCCTTGTCAACGATCAGCCCCTGAAGGAGCTCAGCATGCAGAGCGATCATCTGAACAACTGCAGCACTGCCCTCCAAACCAAACTGTTCTTTAGAGCTACAGACGTCCTAATGAAAGGCACCATTCATTTGGGAGGGAAAGGATGTGCTGTTCCACATGGCCTCATATCTGGGTTTCCGTAGCACCATAAAAAGGAGGCCCAGCGGTTACAGATGGTCAAACGTGAACCGGCAAGGTATCTGCAGTGTCTAGGTTTATTATTTAAATTCACAAAGGAGCACTATTCTAATTATATTTGATATCACAACAGAAGTAGTCTGACTGGTTATATATACACAGGCAGTTGGAAGCATAATAAGAAACCCTTAAAGAGTAAACCCTTTCACTCTCTGTCAGGTTATTGCTGGTTCAAACTTCAAACCAGCACAGCAACAGTCAAGCTATTGAAAAGCTCTGATTAAATACAGCTGCCAGGGTGATCAGATAGCAGAGAGACAGGGGCTCCCCTACCAGGGTCGCTGCTCCGTCTCCGTCTCCTCCCAGGAGTGGCTAAATGCGAGTCTGTTTCCTGAAGAAGAAATTAATCGTGTAGTTGGAGAAACAAACTGAGTTTGGAGGGAGTGCTTGAATGCTCTTCACATACATATATACAAACAACTTTTGGTAAGAAAAGGAATACACCAGAGGAAGGATATCGGCCTGCACACTTACTTGTGATGCGCTGTCTGGTTCAGTTTGACTGCTGGGATCTGTAAAGGGTGACTGGGGACCTGTCATTACAAAACCTGTGTCAATCAGCCCTTAAAGCTGTGGTATTTAGACATGAAAGCTACCATTTCACAAGAGTATTACCAAATTCCAAATAGCAGACATTAGTGCAAAAAACACACGAGCATATGTTAATTCAGAAAAAAAAGACTGGACAATTTAAGAATAATAATTTCTCTTGTAAAAATTAGAATTATGTCATTTAAAATGGTAAATAGTAGCTTAGTACCTTCATTTTTTACAGCAACCAGGTTTTTGGAGACCATTGCAAATAAGACACTGAAAGACAAATAAAAAAGTTACTAATTAGTCTTTTCTTTATTGACTACAAAATCCACTATATATATTAACAAAAAAAGTATCATTCTGGAAATAAAACAAATGACAGAGGCCCAAACAGCTGCTGGACTGTCATGTTACTCTCATGTCTCTGCACTTTTGAAACTGCAAGTTGGGGGGGGGGGGCAGGGTCTAGAAACATCTGGGCCTGACCTCCAGCCCCTTGAGAACAGAAGCAGTGAAAAACGTACCGGGGTTCCTTGATGGAGAAGCTGTCCACACCAAGCACAGTCCCCAGGGCATCATCTGCGCAGTGCACAATGTGCTGCTGTTTCTTGTCATACAGCTGCTTGCTCATAATGTACTGCCCGAGGTAAAATATTACCTGAAATTCAAAGTTATAAGAGGATTATGGTATCAATTTTGGTCTGTCAAACAGCAAGCTACAGTTCATAAAGTACCAGACAGTATTAACCCTTTTCTGCTCCATCTATCACTCATCTGACCTGATTTAATTCAGAGCCCATGGTACAAAGGGTCACTGTTTTTCTTAATCAGCTATAATGATTAGTGATTGCAAAATTGCAGCTCAGTGATTAACTGAGAAACAGGCTCAAACACAAAAAAATTGCACCTCTCTGCCCTTCCCCTAGGAATTGATAAAACTCCCACCAGAGGGAAAGGACTGCATGTAGAACCTGAAAGCCACCGTAAACACAGAAACATCCGCAACACCAACACCCTAATGTATACCCTCCTTAAATCCTGTGAGCTTAAGAAAATGCTGCATGTTTCCAAATACACACACACCCACACACACACCAGTCTCTTCCGTTAACTTTCCACACAGACCAGAGTAACTAAATCTAAGGTGGAAACCTGAGATGCCTGGTATTTATATCAACAGGGTCAAGGGTAAATTGAATGTGGGAACGGCACTGCCCCTTCACTGAGCGCAGAGCCTGAAATCACCAACAAATCACTAAAGACAAGTGTCCTGGGTTGTTTCTGAAAGCCAAAATGACACTGACTACCTTCAACTGGAGATGCCAGACTTGCTTAAACATTACACCATTTCTGAGAGTACAGCAACAGCAGTACTCGTCAGTATTCCGGGATCTTCTTACCTCTTTCATTGTAAAGATCTCCTTGTCTGCTCCTGCCTGCTGGAGCAGGGTTTGTAGTTGTACTTTTGGTCTTACCTGTAAAGACCAGGATTCACATCTATTGAACATTTCTCAATATAACAGGCTCATGACTCAAGCAAATTAAGAAAACTCACAAGTTTCTCATTATCCACTGCGTTTATTTGGCTGTCGCTTAAACAATTCTCTGTTGCCATTCTCTATTACCTGAAATAAGAAAAAATATATATTAAAAGTGGTAAACGCAGTGTGACAAATTCAGCAAGTTCCAATTTTAAATTAAATGCCAACCAAAATAACACACCCAGAGACAACTCACCTTAATAAATAGTTATATGCGATATATATATATACACATCTATGACTTTTCAGCTGTACATAAAGTGCTCAGGGTCCGCAGTGTGCAATGACAACACACTTCCTCAACGGCCCCGGATTTAAATACCCCAGCGGGCACTTGTCATGACATGTCAGGGCTAGAACCGCAGTCGTCGCTGGGCGTGGGCTCCATTGGGGAATGGCGCCCCCAGCGGCGGAGGCAAGGCTCCGTAACGTAGCGCACCGAGCGAGGCCGGCAGATATGCCCGGGCATGTCCCGGCTCGGCGTCCCTTCGACGGCGCCGAGCCCCCACGCTGACCGCTCTGACAAGGCGAGGGGGCCGAAAGCATAGCGACAGCTGCATCCTTCAACATGCCTGGGCGACGACGGACTTATTCACAGCCATGTGTTACTTCAATAAAGACAACTTCGTGAAGGAATAATCAATAATAACAATAAAACACCAAGTGGCGTTCAGCCTTATCGCTTTACAGCACCCGGCTCGAAATCGGACTTTCTTCTAGATAAACGATAACTAGAGCTAATCAGGAGGTTGCCTCGCCGTAGTGACTTAGCCAGAGAACTGCGTAAGTTGCATTTTTAAAACGTCAACTTTAACAATGTGCATGTCCACCACTCAGCCTACAGAATAATGCTATAACCAGCACGCACGCGGTGCATGTTACCGACAGATTAATAGAATAAACCCGCTCACTTCACCGCATCTTTCCAAACAGCCCAATGAATTCATCCGCATCATTTCAAAGTACAAACTGCAAATTTAAAATAAACTGCTTGCTTCTCGTTTTTGGTACACAACTTTCCCGTGAATGCCAGTTTTAAGGTATTGCCTTTATTCTTGACTTGATTACTTGATTTGAAAGTGCACGTCACCGACTTCAATTACTGCTATACTAACGACACAGCTGAGCTTTAAATACTCTTTCCCATATCAGTTTAACATTAAGGAGAAATAAAGCTGCAGTCTGTAGTAAAAAGAGACCGCTCCGTTCCCGAAGCTCTTCCGTAGTCAGAAGCGGAATGAGCGTTCTCGTTCACGTTAGATAGGCTAGGAAAACCCGTGGCTGTGGGGCCTTGTACAACGTCCGTTAGCCAGCAGGAAACGCATTTGAATATCGAGGGGTTTAAAAAAAAAGATACAACACAGCCAGCCCGTCTAACTGGATAAAAACACATTATGTGCCTTCACAAGCCGTAAAATAAATTACCTACCTTTTTGAAGAACGAAATATTACCGTCTGATACGCGGAGACAGCATTTTCTTTGCTTTCGTAACTTGGCGCGACTAAACGCTGTTGCCCCTAGCGACAGAGCGGGTGACTGGTTAAGAACTAGTTGGAATCATTTTAACGTTTTATATTTTAAAGTTTACATGCTAAGCTGGCAAAATGTGGCAGGAAAATGACAATTCCATAACATATGTGTATACGTGTTTGCAGCAAGGTACACCCAAGAAGATCTCAGATAATCTATACATCTCAACAGATTTCTTTGCCTTTAACCTTTAAATGTCAACGTTTAAACTTTTTTGACTTATCTACCCTTAGTTACTAGTTAGTTACTAGCTTGGGAGTTACTTGACCAGCGCGTGACTTTAACTTCGTTACTACGCTTCAGTATGTATAGGATTATGTCCTTTTGCACGTGAAGCTTGGCATGTCCAGCGACCAAGTGGGGCTGCCATTAAAAGCTGTCACCTGTTGCGAAGCAACGCCAGCTGTCCACATTAATTTGATGGTTCTATTGAATAGCCCAAAAATTGTGAGACTTTAAACAGGTTTATCTAAGAAAGGTTAGATCACAAACATGTTAACTGTTCCACAGTGTTGAAATGTAAATTTAGTATATTGGTTATATTTTCTTGAGATTTATTATATGAATGGAGTTAAAAATATTCATCGTACGGATGTCTATGTATTATTAACCCCTCACAGTTTTTTCAATAAATAGTAATTTTTAAAGAGTCTTCAGAAAAGTGCTATTGCTTTTCATTTTTATTACATTTATGTGAAAGTTTGTGTTAGGATTAGGTCTGAGGAAATGGATGACTTAATTCACACTACATCAGCAAGACAAAATAATATTACCCCTGTTATTCTTGTTAACTTAAACTCTTTCATCCACATTTCAGGGAATACTCATTTTTTCTTGACCACAACAGGAAAATGACTCAGCATGACTGTGTTTCTTTGAATGCAAGTGAATATTTAAGGGTATGTGACTCATTCCAGGTCTCGACATGTTCAGGCATGTGATTTCTTCCACTTGTGCCCACTTGGTTATTAACCTTATTGTTTTACTGAAACAAAGATAAATCAACTGACTCCCAGATAAAGTCTATAATTTAGCACTGGGTGAGTGGCTATGGAATAGCAATGGATATGGAATATTTAAACGATTTGAAATATCGCGTTTGGCAGCATAATCCCGCAGTATCGAAGCATGTCTAGAAAGTACAAAAAAGATATTGCTGCTTATCAAACCTCAAGCAGTATGATTTACAAGTAAAAAAGACAGTGTTGTTTTGCTGCTGTGCTTTGCAATGACGGTTGAATGGCAGATTATCTCGAGGCAACAGCACAGTGGAAGTCCACAGCTGACTCAGTAGCACCAGTCTCTCCCTGACAGGGCATTCCAGTGGTTTAAGAGCGCAGTTAGGTGTCCAGTGTGGGCATTCACTGCAGATAGACACCTTCCCTGCCATAAGAGAGGTTCCTTTGTGCAGGCGCTCAAACACTGTGGGCTGTGTGCCTCTAACATTCTGCCCTAAACAGACTATTTTACCCAAACGTTTCCACGTATATACCCACAGGTGCTTTAGTAATATTCAAAATCAAATCAATAATATGTCTGATTGAACTTTAAATTTTTAGTATCAACAAATCCACCCAGTCTGTCACACGCATATGAAGCCACAATCTATAGCAAAATATAGAACGTGGTATAACTACACATCCAGCAGTTCAGAGCTCGCAGAACAGAGCCATTTCCTCACTGAAACACGGAACCATGAAGAACTGAGAGGCACCGAAAATGTAGAGAGCAAGTGGAAACAGGAAGTAGTAGCTGATTCATGCAGCTGTCCAATGATTTCAAGCACCATCATTAACTTAAATGGCTCGTGTGATCCCTCTCGTTAATGGGTTAAAAGAGTAAAAGACCATTCAACCACAGCAAAGGTCATCCTTGATAAGCGAACCTATCAAGCAGCTAGAACAGCACTCCAGTTTAGGTATTTCAGTGATAAGGAATATTTTTTAAGGAGTTCTTCCAATCTCCAAGGCTTTCTAAGCCAAGTAGCAGGGAAGGGAACAAGTAATTCCTTGGCAAGTCCAAGTCAAGTCTCAAGTAAAAATATTCCAAGTCCAAGTCTTTCCATCATTTTTGGTGGCGAGTCATGAGTCATCAAATTTGTAACAAGTCCGTGTTGAGTTGTGAGTCATGAAACTCCAGTCTCTACATATGTCAGCTTTTTTTAACCTTTAGTTATTAAGCGATGAGGTGACACGGTGGTGCAGTGGTTAGCACTACTGCCTCACACCTCTGGGACCAGGGTTTGAGTCTCCGCCATGGCTCCGTGTGTGGAGTTTGCCTGTTGTCCCCGTGTCGTCATGGGGTTTCCTCCGGGTACTCTGGTTTCCCCCCACAGTCCAAAGACATGCTGAAGCTAATTGGCATTGCTAAATTGCCCATAGGTGTGCATGTGTGAGTGAATGGTGTGTGAGTGTTCCCTGTGATGGGCTGGCCCCCTGTCCAGCATTGTTCCCTGCCTTGTGCCGATTGCTTCTGGAATAGGCTCTGGACCCCCCCGCGACCCAGTAGCATAAGCGGGTTGGACAATGGATTGATGGATGGATAGTTATTAAGACTTGCTGCAGCAGAAACCCGCCACAGTATGTTATAGGTTAGGTTCTTCATAGGCAGAGACAGGTTGAAAAGAGAGTCTTCACTCCGTCACAGTTTTCATGCCTGTGTTTATGCAGGGAGTGATGCATCTCTCCAACAAACCATCTCAGGAAACCTTGCATTCAGTCAAATGAAAGTTCAGGCAGCAGATAATTAATACACTGAAATGATAAAATTAACAGTATGGTATCCAGAAGGGGATTATAACCTCAAGTCTTAGTCATAGGGTCCAAGTTGGGTCCAAATCTCGAGTCATCTGCCCTCAAGTCCAACTGGAGTGCAAATCTTTCCATCAATTCTACAGTCAAGTCACAAGTCATCAAACTTCTGCCAAGTAGTCCCAACTTGCAGGCCTCTGCTAATGGGCCAGTTTTAATATTCCGTTTTCCATAACTGCTTTCCTATCCCAGGAAGCCCAGGGTATGAGGCAGGGGAACCCCTGGATGAGGTGCCAGTCCATCACAGGGCATGCAAATTCCAAACAAACACAACCAGGGGAGGGAATCAAACTCACATGCTTAGACATAAGAAGCCTCTGTGCCAACCTGTACTGATCAGTGGGTCTCAGCAGGCCGTACGCATTATAAACACGGCCTGCCTCTAACGATAACTACTGCCGAAAAACCAAAGCACTTAATTGAACAAAATATATTTATTGAACAACACAACATATTAAAATGCTTTATGCTGTATTTAAATAATGGGAGAGAAACCAACCTGGCATTTTTAATGCCATGAGAGGAAATATTCAGGATGAGATTCTCCATTTTTGACCATGTGGTACAAAAGTATCAGGCAATTTCTGATTATCAGCTCGTTTTCAGTAGGCAATACTCCAAAACACTGTAGGACTATCACATACAAAATCTCACTTAAGATCCTGTCGTCCACTGCATAAGTGCCCCGCTTCTGGACTCTCCGTGGCAGGCCCTTCTCGCAAGCCCGGGCCCAGGGCTCTGGTGGGTTGGCTCTCTGGGGGTTTCCGTGTCGCAGCCAGCGGCAGCTGTTCTAAGGTGAGGGACATTAGGGTTTAGGGCCTCTGAACAAGTCTGCTCTTGCCCTCCTCCTGTTCAGCCAGTTTGAAGTGGGTGTAGGCCAAAATACCCAGGAGGGTACAGAGGATGCCCAGGCCCTGATGCAGAGACAGGGGGTCCTGGAAGAGCACGTAACCCCCCAGGAGGGTGATGCAGAACTTGAAGTGCCCAAACATGTTATAGCTGTTGACCTTGTGTTAAGGTTCAATGTCAATGTATTTGGAAGCAACAACTTCAAACGATTCATTATTCAATAGTTGTATAATTTTACACCGCCATGGCGCCCCTTATACCATACCAGGCCATAATAAGACGTCATATCACTACAATTTTGTACCTGAACTGTACTTTCCCAGGAATCTGAGACAGGCCCATATAACCCGCAGCACCACTGAAAGCATCCTCTCTTATGACCCGACTCTGCGGTATATCAGCTGCACAGAGAAAGCACCTACATCCAGCGGTAAAAGCTGCCCAGTGAATCATTAGGGACGAACCTGGACGCTGCTTACGCTGGCCTACCGAAGAAGGGAACCAGCATCACCAGAGATTCACCTCACCCAGGTCATCATCTGTTCATCCCACTGCCGTCTGAAAGGTGCAGGGCAATCAGACCCCGGACCTCAAGCCCCCCCCAAGCACCCTTCCCCACCCACAAGAACCATAACACACAGAGCTGGACCCCCCTAGAACTTTATTTAGTTATACAGACACTGCCACCATAAAGACTGTATATTTTTATTTTATGCTTAATTACTTTGCCCTGTGTATATAATTATATAGAATTGGCAAATAAGCTGTTCTCCATTGTCTGCACTTAATTTGTAACTACCAATTTTACTGTCTAGCTTAAATAGGTGTTTTTCTATTGTCACTGTTATACAATTGCTGCAAAAGAAGATATGTCAACACAATATCATTGTATCCATTCATCCACCCACCCATCCATTTTCTTTACCCGTTTGTCCTATACTGGGTCACGGAGGCCTAAAGCCTATCCCAAAAACTATGTTGGCAAGACAGGGAATTATCCAGGATGGGGTTCCAACTCATCTCAGGGCACACACACACACACACACGCACGCACGCAGGCATGCACGCACACGTACAGACACACACACACAGACACAATTCACACCTACAATTTGGGAAGACCAATTCAACTCAGCATGTTTTTGGACCATGAGTGGAAACTGGAAACTCCAGAAACCCCACAACAACATGGGGAGAACATGCTCCACACACATGGATACCTGAACCCGGTCCCAGAGGTGTGAGGCGACAGTGCGTGACTGTGCGTGACTGTGCGTGACTGTGCGTGACTGTGCGTGACTGTGCTGCTGCGATTTCATTGTACGGAAGTATAATATCAACAAAGCTCTCATTTCATGTCTTAACTAAAGAACAAAACAAGGACAACTCTGTTGGCGGCATGAAATCCCTGTGGCTGTAAGCGGAAGCAATATTTTCCCTCCTTTAACCACACATAGTGCCTTTGAGAGCTCAAAAGGCATCCAGAAACTGAAGCATATGACATTCATACTTATTCAAATATATGAATTAGTGCACTTTAATTACTGCACTGAAGTAACTCCTGGCCTGACTGTATTTTTAGTTTTATCAAAACAAACCGAGTCTTTAGCCTCCATAGACCTTGTGATGCCCCAAAAGGCTGAAGGATACGTCACTGGTGAGGTGTTGCCGATGATCCAGTAGATGGACAGATTGACCAGGAAGGCGATCACCCCTGACAGCAGCACCATCACCTGGGGGTGAAGAGTTCACACACACTTTGAAGTAACTGACATCACCACTGTAAAGCCTCAGTATAAGTCCATATTAACAGTAGAAGACTTAAACACATCAACATCTGGGTTCAAAACAAAGATTAATAACACAATGACAGCAGACAGACATGC